TCCCGGGCAAAGACTCAATGGGCCTGAAAACAGCGCCAATCGACTCGGATTGCCCGTAGCTTTCAGGCTATCTGATTACTTTCTCGAAATTCCAATATTAAAAAATTTGACATACCTGAAAAGTGAATTGAAGCGGAGTTGCGTCGGAGTTACCATATATAGATATGCATTGATGGCTGTAATTAGTAATACGCCCTAACCCTAATGCAGTTAACCCATAATGGGTCTACTACCCCTATGTCAGGTCCCATTCTCGTTACACAGTTCTTGATACTCAGAGTGTCAGGTAAGCTTGAGGGCATATGAGCTGACTTGTGGAGATCTAGAATCATATAATACGCCCTCATACAGCACTATTTCTGGAGTAAGGTCACCCTGAAGGGGCACTGGGACTTCTGTGAGTGAGGATACCTCACCTTTCGATGCTTGTTATACACCATTCAACTCCAGGATCATTCCCTCAGCGAAATCCGTAATATTGAAATTTCCACCCCTAAAAGTGAACGCTTACGTAATCCATCAAAAAATCGAAATTGCAGGATTACGCATATTTTGGCCAGGTTTATGTTTCAAATTTTTTTCTGGAGGTCTGCGGCGCCCTAATTAAGGCGCTATGGAGGCGCCGATCCTTAGTGACCGACACTGTAGTCCGCTATGAATTGACTCAGCGTCTACTCACCTTGCAGTAGACCCTTTCACATTCGGGGATGTAGTTACAGGACGCTAGCGTCGGTTGCGTGGAACTGATATCAGATACAAACGGTAGCGGGTCCGGGCGCTAAAGGTCGTAGCGCCCATTGATCATTACGAGATCAGCACCTGGGAAGTGATGAGTACCCATTCTCCTCTACTATACCGGAGTCACGCCAGGATAGCACCCATGGTCAGGTCTGCGCTTTTCTACAGAGGAGCTTGAAGGCGGTGCTTCATATATGGGCTGCATATATTGACAAGTAAAGACAGTGTCCTGGGGTAATTGGCCGATGTACATTGGCCAATAGAACAACACTTTCCTAGCATAATGTCTGGCGGATAACTGCGATCGAAACGGACCTCCGTATGACAGTTCGATGGAGGAATACGAGGTCCATCGCAGCGGCGTAGCCAACCTTATAGAGTGTATAGGCTTCCATATAATAGAACGGCGTTCGTCCATCTCCGGCAGGTTACACGCAATCTCTTGCACGGATAGTTGCTCAGTTGCGCGATCGAAGCCACATCACATCCCCCAGATCTGCACAGTTAACAATTGCCAGTCAAAATTGACGCAAACGGCTAATGTTGCAATAAGCAGGCATACCTGATCACTCAGCCTCCTAATACCGTAAAAGCGGGGTTACCGCAGCCATCACAAACTGCTTCCATCACAAACAGTTACCACAAATAGTGCTCGCAGAGGGTGCATCGCACAAGTGCTGCAGTGAAGGTGTTTGTTCCAGGGTACACCGTACGGGAGGCAACGCACCGGGAAGGCCCGAATGAGCGTGACGGCGCGTGTGTCACGCGGATATTCGACGCGTATAGGGACTATCGCCCTTGTGCTGTTCAGTAGTGCTATAGAAGCTCGGGGTCCACACTAGTACAGCTATACTGTGTTCCTTTCACAAGGGTCAGTCAGGTTTCCTATATATGTGGGACTGTTTGCTTTTCCAGCCAATACGAAGAGCAAGTTGGAATGGGATCATCCAAATAAATACCAAGAAATCAGTTCATACATGATAAATACGGCATAGGGAATAGGCAGGCGAAACTCCACTGGTGAATGATTAGCTCCTCTTGAAAGGCCAGACCCGTTTCATATTGCTCATGGGATAGTCATCGCCGTATGCCCCGCTTGACTCTCGGCGTCTGCCAAACCATACTGTGCAGCCCGCGAGGAGCAAGGGCTATCAGGGTGAGGAGCGCTGCCAGGAATGCCACCATTGAAGCGACTACAGTGTGGGCCGAGAATGACATGACAAGGGCGACGAGAACGGCAACAGTGGCTAATAGAGAACGCGAGTTTATCACTTTGACGAGGCACAGTATGTCACGATCCTTACCTACAGGGTGGACGGCAAGTCCACGAGTCCACGAAGATCCGATAGTGACTATGTCAATACCTCCCTTCGAGATGATACTAGTAAAGAAGATGTATCCATGACCTCCGAGCCGTATAGTGAGCCAAGCATGAATTTGGGTGGAAAGATATATTGCGTACCTGTGTGGGCGCATTTGCGGGCCCCATCTACGTAAGTACAAATGCCCCTGAAGAAGGTCCTTCAGACATTCCGCCCCGTTCGAAGCGGTGATCACATGCCAAATTCCGAGCTAAGTTATTTCCTATCTGCATCAAAATCGCATACATCTGTTTCGCGTCTGACTCACTCGTGTCTGGTCTGCACCCGACTGCGACAAATTTCCAAAATCTATTCTCACAATATCAAGGGCTGTGAGGTACGGCAGTGAAATCGAGACGAGGAAGCTAAAGACGAAGGCAACAGCGAGAAACATAATGCCAGGGAGGAGATGTCGTGAGACCATTCCGGTGAATGGATCGCGAGGCGTGTAATCGCAATAGATGGGACAGAGGATGGACAGTAATCAACCATCACTGGGAGCTTGTATTCATCCTAGCAAGGGAAAGGCCGGTGTTCAAAGGAACACGCTCATCATGTTGCTGTCAAGATCTTGAGATGACGAGTATTTCTGAGTAATCCTGATGAAGATGACAGTCGACAGTTGACCTGGTCCTCCTAGACTTGGTTACATTGACGCCATCGCATATCGAGCTGCATTGCATGCAGGTCTGCAGGGCGCCCGAACACGAGGCAGAGAAAGCGACCCACGGCGACGGGTATAAGTCAACATCTGCACACTCCAGATGAAAGAGCGAATGTATGAGCGCTGATGTTGCCATTCAGATGCAGTTTAAGCAAGCGCTCGAGCCCTCAGTCGGAACAAAAGCGACAGCCTAAGAAGGCGGAACGTTTATTCGGCGCCTTAGTACTGGCCGCCGCCCTGCTGCTTTCGAGAGATGAGTCATTTGCATGGGGACGTTGAAACTCACGTTGGGCCCTTCCTAGGAAATTACGGCACAGGTATGTTATCCTGACTTTTCGCGCTTGGAAGTAATCATAGAAGATCAGTTAAAATACTACCCATCCAGCACATACCTCGTCCTTGGCTACAGTCGAACGCTGTAATCAGATGGACAGCCACCCGTGGCACCACCGCCTAGCTCCAGCGGTCACCAGCATACACCGCTTTGGCCCCGTCTATATCCGTTCATCCGTCAGTAAAGCAACTAATAATAATACAAAAGGCTGTCCTCACCCTGTCGCCGAAGCTGCCGGCTGCTAATTACATCTCATATCAGAAGTTCGCAACTGTTCAGGGAACTTGAGGGAGTTGATGTACGCAAGACAAGAATACGATCCAGCGCTGTGGAGATGGACTAGCCACGAATGACCATGCTGTACGTTCGCTCACTGACCGCAATCCTCCTTGCCTTATTCAGCTAGGAATAGTAGCGCAGAGCGCGCACGTTCATACAGGCTATCCACCCGAGGAACGTTGCAATCATGATTTGTCTGTTATTTTCGCGCGGAGCCAGCTTGAGTCGCCGTTGCATAAGCTCCCAGGTCAGGTTGGAGTTGGTTCCATCTATGGGCAGTGCCAATGCGCGGAATGACGAGGGGATAGATTGCTCATTTAGGCATACCAGCACTCGGATAGCCTCGTCATTTTATCGTGATCGTCGTATTATTTCCCAGGGCTAAGGAGCCCGCTCGCATTGGGGGATCGAGTCGTACTTTGGCCTTGGAGAGCCACACCGAGCCTCAACTGCAGGAGTAGCGTGGGTCATGAAGGCTTCCTGGTGCCCCAGCCGCTTCGTCTGGGATAAGGAGCTAGGTAAGGTCAGACAACCAGACTTGTTGGCAGCGCCATGAGCCCAGGTACTATCATTTCGGGGGAGTTGGTCAGCTCCGGTCGGGTTGGTTAATGGACTGAAATATTCGTAACACTTTCCACCTTCCTTTGTGCTCTTGGCTTTCTCACTCACAGGGTATATAGCAGCCATCTATTAGGTCTAGATGGTCTGAATCACTAATATCAAGGTGCACAAAGCGCAACGAGCGAAATGGTGTGCTTAAGCCTCCTTCCTAAATGGGATTTTCGCCAGATCTCCAGCACTATAGCCAAGCAGAGGGTCTGAGATACATCGTGGTAGGGTTTATACGGTATTTAAATCTATCTATGACAGCCGATTTGGCTAAGAATGTGCGTGAGGCGTACCACCGTCGTGCAAGGGGGTGTGTTGGTCAACGCGGCATGACCTGGCGTGACACATCTCCCTGCTACAACAGCAGAAGTCACGCGTGACGCATCTGACCAACTCACCCCGCGCCGTATGCGAAATCGTGCCGAACTCATCAAAGGGCTGCCGACTGCCCACCCGTCCACTGTTCCGCTTTTCTGAGTACATAGAATGATAGACAAGGTGGCATTGCACTGGACTGCCGAAACCCGATGCTCGTAACTCAAGGATTCATAAAGATACAAAATAAATGAAGGGATACCTGACCAACTCCCCCGAAATGATAGTAGCGTCTGGCCGCAGTGTTCAGGAAGCAAAGATCACCATATCCCTTCAGGCATTATGCTCGGGGGAGTCGTGTACTTCCAACCTGCTGAGTGAAGTCAAGTGAATGAACTTTGAGGATGCCATCGGATAACTCCGGGACGCGGTAGGAAATCGTGACAGTCACCTGACTCGCGTCTGTGCACGCGTATAGGGGCCTTTCTTTAAGAATGCCATCGACTTGGCCCCGGCATCTGCTTCTTACCCCGACGACGTAAAGCGATTCGTACGATTTGATGTCTCTATATTCGTTATACTCGTATTGGACTGAGCCTGAACAAGAGGTAGATACCAGATGTTGAACAAGCGTGTGGCACGGTGCTAGGATTTCAGCGCCCATAGTTACCCCATTATTTAGCGAAAATAGCGGGTAAACATGCATCTAGTTCTTTAGCAATGTTTGCGCTCGTATCATAAGATCCTAGCCGCTGGATTGCTATCGATATCAATCGATACGAATCCAGGGCCGTAAAAGGGAATCGTAGAGGTAGGGACGCGAGCAACCGGAGTAAGAAAAGAAGCCCCATTGTACTGCATCACTCCCTGATAGACTTCCAAACCTGTATAAATTCGCACACCACACCAGGCCGTCCGCGAAAGTCGAACTTGACCATCGACCACAATCACGTCCACCCAGCTACATCTCACAACTGCACTCTGCCTCTGCAACAACGATGTCTCCTTCAAAGCGTACCTTATCCTCAGCTACACGCCGCGCAGACGCGCATTCGAAGGCCAAAGGCGCCGCCAAGAAAGCGGAAAAGGGAGCAGTGGCACACCTCCCGCCAGAAAGTCCTGGCAATACCAAAGTACGCTTTCCATGTCAATTGCTCGTTTCAGTCGGTCTCACTCATAGCCCACAGATAGGAATCCCCGCCAGCCGCTTCATAGATTGGGGCGAGGGCCTGAGACTCGATACACTTGCTGACTTGATAATGGATGAGACAATCCCTTTGGTACGTCGCGGTGACAAAGTCAATCAATATCAGACAGTGACGACTACTACTACACGTAGAGCTGCTGGCTAATCGCTGAGCTGCCTGAGGAGAGGGGGAGGAAGGAAGAGAAGAAGGATAAGAAGAGAAAGGAGAAAAAGAAGAAGGGGCTAGGAAGTGATCCTTCGCTAGTGTCCTCCACAAGCAAAAGATCAGTACCAAGCGCCTCTCCCGCGCCCCAGAAGACCAACACGGTGCCTTTCCCTGTGAGCACCCGTGCTGAAAGAGAAGCAGGTGAGCGATCGTAGGATATTCACACCTCCTTTCGCTAACACAGTCACGGTCATGGCGCTCTTAGAGGGCCTCGCGTCGCGGGCGGACCTCGCTCACCTTGACTGAGGGTCTGTGGTGAAACGGGTGTCTTGGTGTACGATATAGCTGTTCGGGACAGTACTTGATGTAGAATTTCTTCGGTGCTCGTGAAAATATTATGTTGTGTGGCAGATTCAGCGGGTCTATATAGTACCACATCGGTGTGGGGCGCAGAGTTACTTCCAGTGCAAAGGATACTCAGCAATGGTCTACCCGCAAGGAATGAGAACCCTCACTAAATTTTCGCGTCGTATCATGGGCCTCCATCATTGTTCGCGATGAGACCTTTCCGCCTGAACCATATTGGACCAAAGAAGGCGCATTGTCCTTCATGGCCCTGAAAGAAGCACGCCTACCGCCATAAAGGCCTCGCTTCGGGAAATCTGTAAGCTAATTGGAATCTCGCGCGGTACTTAAACCACACCAGCACCCACCTTTCCTCTCATTCAACGTTCCCCCTCGCGCTCGACCTCCCAGCGCCACTCACCCGTATAGACAACGACTGTCGTATCACGCGAAGAGCGCGTCAGAGAGCAAGGACCCGCGCGTGCAGAGATGGAGGAAACCCCGTCGAGAAGGTGGACCTGTGAGGTACGCTAGCTGAGCCTGCGTCTTCGACCAAATTTCATACTGCGCCCCTCTAGCTGCCGATTCCTCCGAACCCGAACGCAGACGACCCGAGGATGGCGGCGGCCCTGCAGCGGCACTACGACGACGACTCGTCGGACGACGAAGACGACGATACCAAACCCGTGAGTCCTACGCATGTCCACTCGAGAGCACGCCTGCTGACCCGTGGAACACAGCCTCTCCGGGTGCCCTGGCTCACCGGAGACGATGTGCTCCGGCGGATGCGCAGGGGCGACCCCGAGGACACATGGGAGCGCCCGCCAGGGCCGGACGACCTCCTCGAGCCAGGCGAGGTGAGTTACTAGTAAATTTGCGTCAATGGTGTTTGACGAACTCACGTGCGGTGTAGGAGCGCCCGGCGCTGACGATTACGGCCGAGGAGACGATGCGGTTGGGGGACTATTGGGACAGGAAACATCCGCCGCCCAAGCCGATGCCTCACTTCGCGACGGTCACCGATTTCTTGGTGTGGAGACGGGAGGAAAACAGAAAAGAAGCGGCGGCTGCCGCTTTAGCTGCTGAGGAGCAGCAGACTAGTGAGGGGACCTCTGGGGAACCATCGAGGCCGGTAACAGAGCACAGAGATCCCTCCACAGTCCACGTCCGCTCGCAGCTGACGACCGATGAGGCACTGCGGTACCTCGACGAGCTGAGGCCGGATAAGCCTTTACCGCCACCGGTGAGTGATCTCGTCGTATCCACCTACCTTCTCGGTACTGAAACTGGCGACTAGACAAATCCGGTCGCGTCGGGGAAGCTCCACGCCCAGATGCGGGATACGGTCGAACGGGTCAAGGCGACCGTGGCCGCGCGGGAAGGGGAGGAGCCTCCGTGCGCGATAGAGATCAGAGGACGGAGCCGCAGGAAAAAGGATATTGGTAGCGGGCTTACGTCGGTCGCGCCAACTAACTTAAACCCGATACCAACACCCATTCCCGAGGGCAAGGGGAAGGGAAAGGACACGATCCCTTTCCCGGCCAAGCCTCTCGACAGGGCGACCGTGCGCGCCATGCCGAACTTCTTTGAGAGCGCTCGTGAGTGACTTGCTTCCTGCCGGCGGTGTGATGAGCTGATCCTGAGCATCTGGACAGCGGGTATTTACGGCGAGTGGAAGCCAGCTCGGCGCTGGTCGATGTATGGATGATGGTGGTGGGGGCGACTGGATGGCGAGTCGCGGCTCAATCTCTTTGTTTTTTACACGTATAAGTATCATCCTCGTGCATCGTTATCAAGATGGAACCATAACAGCACCATTGTCGCGAGCCTTTGTTCCCCTATCATGCTTCGATCTATCCATCTTGAGCCTTTTTCTTGGTTCGTTTCGAGTGCGAGTGCGTGCTCAGCATGGGCCTCGCTGAAAAGCATGCATCGATACTACGCAAAGTCGACAGATCAGAGCGAGAACAGTCGGTGTTGCTTCGAGTAGGCTAAGGGACGCGACGAGCGTGAACACTGAGAAGCGCAACGGACGGAATCATTCTGCGAAACGCCTGGGAAGTTTCTTCTGCATGCTCAATTGCAAGTATCCTCCTTTTACTCCCTTCCACCTGCCGTTCAAACGTTCAAGCCTCAGGACCCTCGCTGTCCTCTTCCATCGACGTCTGTGACAGACATCGGGATGCGCTTGCACGAATGTAGCCCTCTCTTATGGCGAGATTCGGTACTCGTTCAATCGCTAGTGGGGTCATCAATTCAACTACCAAACGAACCGTTCAAGTGAACTCATAAACTGCCAGCACCCCCAGGGCAGCCGGACAAAGCAACCTCCCTGCTACCATCGGGGTCTGACCTGCGGACTTGAACCTCGCGCTGGGCAAACGATGGTTTTGTGCGCCCGCGAAGCGCGCAAATGGCCATTTCGCGGGTGCACAAAGCGGGCTTCGGCGGTCGAGGTGTATGCTGCCACTCGTCCGTCGTTCGTGTCGACTGTCCAGAGGTTTCTCGCTATCGCGCGCATATATACTAACCCATCCCATCGGCGGGCATGACTGTCACCATGGCGCGCACTTGTCTTCAAGTTCCCGCTTACGATAAAGCCTGAGTGAAGGTGTGTACATCCAGCATCGCTACCCTCCTCATCAACATCCTCTCGCAAATCAAACAAACTACTCATAGTCGCGAGGAGCCAAGCCTGCCCTGCCACCTCCCCCAGTTCTCTCGTCCGTGTCCCTCCGGCTTGACTTCCACTCATACCCTGCTTGAAGCTTATTCAGACTATTCCTTTTCCTCAGATTCATGTCACTAGTACGGGAGGGGAACGACATGGCGCGGAGGTCTCAGGGTAGGCACCATTGACACGCTGGACGGACAACGACTTTTGGTAGGTGCGATATGCGAGCATACCGCAGGTGCATAATGCCGGGTCTGTCCAGCGAAGTGCTCGGTTCGTTCCTCGTCCTCTGCTTTGTTCGTTCGTACGCTTTCTACTCGAAGTTCACGCCAACAGAGCGATCCAAGGTCTTCCCGATTTCCGGTGGATTATTACAAAGTGCAGGTATCGTACATCCTTAGCAACGTGGTGGTGTTACAAGCATTAGGTTCTTCATCCGTCAATTCCTCTCATCCGCTCAGTCGTGCGGCGCGCGCGCCTGTCCCTGCGCAGCCGCTTTCCCCCCCGCCTCCCTCAACTCCCCCTTCTCATGCATCTCCGGGTTCTTCGCCACCTTCCCAACGACCTAATGACGCCCACACGTCAGCATTGGTCCCCGCAGCACAATCAAGGGCGTCCACCCACCTTCTGCGTCTTCCCGACAATCTTGTCCCCCAACCCGGCCTTACCCATCGGCAGGTCCTCCTCGCCGCCAATCGCCACGCCTCCCCCAGTCGTCGGGGCCGTACCTAGTGGTCTTTGTTCGTCGACGGCGCTGTCGACCTGCCCGCTCGGCCGCGGGACGTTCTGGTCGTCGAAGTGCTCGGTCGCCTCGGCGGAGTAGTCCGCGGCGGGGGCGACGCCTCGGGTGCCGGGAAGGGGATCCTCGGAGTGGTGCACGCGGTGCGTGGGCGGGCGGTCCTGCTCGAAGAGGGCGGTGTTGTGTGGTGCTTGGGGAGCGGACATCGTGGTGGCCGTTGTTATGAGTATTTGTTGAGTGAGTTAGAGTGAGGAATTGGGTGATGCGTGAAGCTATACGGATTGTGAGGCATACGTGTAAATGAGGAGGGCTTTATATACGCGAAAGGGTTGGAGAGGGAGGCGAGGGTGACGTCACAAACGTCACGTCATTCTGTGGCGGTGACTCTGTGGCGTCCACCTCACTGTCCCCACAACGCCTCCAACCCGCGCTTCTTCAACTCCAGTCTCCCGAGTTTCGTATTTCTTGTCGACTATCCAACTATCCATATCCAGGGCTACGACTGATAGTTTAAGTTTAAGGATTCGATGGCCACAGATTACTCGAAGCTTCATCTCTGTGTTTGAACTAAGAGCATTTGAGGTTCGAATTCCCTGGCACAAACACGAATTCGCTTCGAAGGCGCAGGCGCGGCCGGTACGTATCGTGCATGAGTTGATTTCTCGTAAGTCATGCTGCACGATGCATATCGATCGCCTTTCCTGCCCTGCGGTTTCAATACACAAGCCCGACCTATACTTATGTGCATCGGTTGCTCGCGGGTCATGGGCACTTTCGCCACGGTTTACATCGCACAATATTATAGTAAGTACACAAATACACTCATCATGAAACGAGAAACAAGAGCGCGAGCAATCAATCTCTCCCCCTCTCCCTTTTGCCCACTCAGTCTCATCAACGCCTGCAAACCCCATCGAGCATCGCTCCGCCCACCCCCGCTCACTGCTCCCCTGCCTTCTTCGGCGCGGCCTTGTTCGCGGTGAGCGCCTTGTGTATGAAGGGCAGCACGCCGCCACCCGCGATCGTCGCGCGCACGAGCGTGTCGAGCTCCTCGTCCCCGCGAATCGCGAGCTGCAAGTGCCGCGGCGTGATGCGCTTCACGCGCAGGTCTTTCGAGGCGTTGCCTGGGCGGCGGGGTCAGCGTTTCTTCTCGTCTTGTCTCATATCATCGACGGGAGCGGGGCAGGGGAATAGCAGGAAAGGAACAGGGAGCAGGGAAAACGTATAGGGGAAGGGGCCGAGGAGGGGACAAGAGACGGGACTTACCAGCAAGCTCCAGCACCTCAGCAGTCAAGTACTCCAGTACTGCAGACGTATACACCGCCGCCTTCGCCCCGATCCGCACGTTGTGCTGCGTGCGCTGCTTCAGGTATCGGTGGATACGGCCCACGGGGAACTGTCGTCCAATCAGCACTATCCCACCCCCCAATTCCCCCGTCGCCGACACCACGCTAGAGAAACGCACCTGCAGCCCTGCCTTTGCGCTCCTCGTTTGGAGCGTCTTCGTCGTCGCGCCCTCCCCCTGTGCAACGGCTGCCGCGCCGCCCTTCGACTTCCCGCCTTTCGCGACCATAGCCTACCGCAACGCGCATGGGTTAGCATGGGCAGGGCCAGGATACGACACCGCGGTATGACGGGATGGGAAGGAAACGGGACTCGCTTGGATGACTAGGCTGGGCAGTACCATCGTACTCACAGAGTTAGCTAGCTAGCAATTTACAGCCCTTCCGTCTTGCTATTTCGTGTCGTACGCGTTGGTCTACATCCCCCAAGAAAACACAGTCAATTTTCATTCGCCGCGAGTGAGAGGACGAGGTGAAGAGGGACGCTGTGGCACAACACGCACCGGGCGCCAAACGCGGTTGTGGCTGATCGTGGTGGTGCGGAAGGAAGAGGCTCGTTTTGATTTAGGGGCGGCACCGATGTAATCAACAGGGCGTCACGTGATGAGCGCGGTCGTGTCGTGCGAAACGGCTCTCTCGTCTTTTGGAAAGCTAATTGATGAAGGACGTGTTGATTTCGGAGGATTGGGCTAAAGAGGAAGTGCCCTGAGGGATGGTGGAAGTGCGAGAGCGGGGAAGGTTAAATTTGTGAGGAAGGGAGGTGCGGGAGTTGCCGAGATGTTTGAAGTAGGCGCCACCGCCACCGCCACCTGCACGACGAAAACCTCTCCTTCCGACGATAGACCGTCTATGCTGCTTGACCCCTACGCACATATATTTCCAGGAGGTACCAACTATTGAGTTGTGGAATGCTGGACTGCGAGTATTATTATTGGGTTTGTTGCGCACCGTGTCAACCAATCGGGTTTAGCCGACACCAGGAATCCCAAATCGGGCACAAGGACAAGCCTTTCAACCTTGAGCTCGCACTGTTATGCCAGTGCACTCCGATAGATCGTCTGCATACCGGTCTCTTATATTTTGTTGGATATTTAGGAACTATGACAGTTCATTGGCGGAGATTTTCGCTCGAGGTACTCCACATACTCTGATCTGTCTACAACTAGTACAACAGGGACGGAGACCGCAAGACCCGGAAATGGAGAATGTGAATCAAGGCAAGACTCTGGTAGGTCGTAGACGTCGCAGGTAATTAGGTTGAGGTCCAGTCTCCCTGGCTCTCCTCGTCAATTAAGTACCTCTCGCTGTAGTCGGCACAGCAGACGAGCTGGCCTTTGACCTTGAAGGCAGGGTCCAGACTGGTGAGCCTCACCGACGACGGCCCGCTGTTCGCATTGCACCGGCAGGCCTGCGGGTTAATCAGGCCTGCGCATTTGCATCGCAGCTCACGAGTGTCGAACAGGCGAGCTATGGCCGTATATCCTACAAGTTTACGTTGCTTAAAGGCAGTCTCTAACTAGCACACTAGTCTGCTCCGGTTACGCAGAGTGTCCGCAGAAATGAGGAACACCGGGGGACAGACCGAATCGCCATGGTGATAAGCCATAGACGTTGGCGACCCGAGAACATTCATCATAGGAGGAACAAGCTATGCGCGAGACACGAGTATACACCTCCAGCCACAGTGGGGACAATGGATCATTAATCATTAGCCATCTTACGGCACTGCGGTGATAAGCACCTTGCGAGGGGAAAGATTGAGTCGCAAGTTCAACGGTATTGCATCGACGAAAGAAGGGGTACGGCGGCGAGATATCGATGAGCACAGTAACAGCTCTGAGCGAGCGCGCGGCAAATATTTCTCTAGTTATTGAACCCTGCGACCACAGATTATAGAGGGCATGCGGGACAACAGTCAACGAAGCTGTACTTACTACTAATGAGCAGCCATCAGGGAGTCCGGTAGGACACCTAGGCATGTCGAGGACGCAAGTCAACAATCTGACCCTGTTCGTATAGGCATTGTAGCGCAGGAGTATCGGGTTGCATAGTACTGCGGCACGGGGGCTGGAATGCCCGTCTACTTCCCATCCACAAAATAGAACATTCGCATATTCTACTTACCCGAGCAGGGCTCTTTGGGCATGCATGGCATTTGACCATATAGGCCCAAGAGAAGGCCAGGCGCATCAGGCCCTCCCGGTGTTCTTCGGCATCTGCCGTGGGAATATAAAAGTCAACCTCGCCACACGTCTCTCCAACCGCACCTTGAACCACATCCCCCACATCCAAAGAGCACATCACTACTCTCTCACCAATCAGCTACAACGGGATGAAATTGAAGAATAGTCTCGGCGGCTTGAAAGCCAAGCAGGGCAAGGTACCGACAGTGGTGCCCCGCGACGCTATTGACGCCACACCGACCGCTACGGAGAACAACGCCTTCGATGCGCTCCTCGATAGACCACTTATCCCGCAAGGCGAGACGGGATTTACCAACCAGGTATAGTCTCTGTGATCCACCCCTCAACAAGCTCTCTGAAAAGAAATTTTGGTCATTAGGTCTCCCCCATGGAATCCCGAATCACCAACCTTACGATTGAACACCACGCGACGCAGCCCATGGTGCTCCTCTCGAAGCCCCTCAGTTGGGATGTGACGCCGTCGTGGATCGATGACACGGATTTCGATCCTGCCCTCATACCTATCCCTAAGCCCCCGCGCCAGGTCGTTGACTATGCGGCACAGCCCTCTCTCTACCCTCTTACGCAAAAGCTCTACTCGCAGGTCACCTGGTACCGTATCGAGGTGGCCAATTGGCCTTCTTTCCTATCCGCACCTGTCTTTGATCCTTTTGAAGAAAAGGAACACAATGCACCTGATACTCCGAGCAACACTGCGTCCCCCCAGTCGGCCAAGCTCTCTCCCGCGTCCCCGAGCGACGGTCTGGTGGCGATAACCACCGTAATTGACGAGGTGCCGCCCTCGTCTGCTTGCGGCTACCATGCACATGGTCCGCCACAGTTGGACAACGAGTACATCCAGAAGTCCCCCGCTGCAATGGTGGCACGGCCGCAGAAGAGGTATGGACGACCGATGGGGCCGCGACCGAGACCGGAGACGCGTGATGAACGAGATCATCGTTTGGCCGCTGTAGGCCCTCCTCCAGGCCTTCCGCCTCCGCACAAGACGGCACCGGCGACCTCCGCATCCAACTCCTTAACCATCCTACCAGAAACGCGCGAGGAGCGGGCTCGCCGACTCAAAGACGTCGGGCCGCCTCCGGGTCTCCCGCCTCCGCGCAGGAGCATCGTGACGGCAGGGATTGCTTCAGTCGCTGAGACGCGCGAGGACAGAGAACGTTGGCTCGCTGCTGTAGGCCCGCCTCCGGGTCTGCCACCTCCGCGCAGAGGGGCGAAGACGACGTTCGATTTCACCTCAGTCGGAGTCGTGTCGAATACCCGCGAAGAGCGGGCTCTTCGCCTGGAGGATATCGGTCCTCCTCACCGTCTCCCGACTCCCTCGGCCAGGAGAATTATCGCGATGAACGCGAGATCTGTGTCAATACTGGACACTCCCGAGTGGCGCACCCATCGTCTAAAGGACATCGGCCCTCCTCCAGGTCTACCTCCGCGTAAAAGAGAACAGGTGGTGTCGGAGTTCGGCGTCGGCGGGGGCGGTAGCTCTGCGTGCATAAGGAGACGAGGGGCGAAGTCTTGTTATCACTATCTTCTAATCTGCGAGAGAGAAAGATGCGGAAGAGTCATGATATGAAGGTTAGGCCTTGGGACTCTGAGCAGTGATTGTAAGACGGGGGGGAGGACGGGAAAACAGGTGTTTTCTTCCTTGCTGGGTTTCATGATATCTTTTGTATGATCAGAATAAACGCTGCTTCTGTTCATCACGTGTTAGAGGCTTCGGCACCAAGGCGCGCAGCCATCCCTTCAGAGTTCAAGTCAACTGCTGGCCGCGAGGGCGCCGAGCACAGCAGGATGCTGACAGGAACACCAGATTCAGTCGTAGCTGCAGCCTCTGTGAGTTCATTGCGATCGCAATTTCTGCTCATGGCTGCGATACCCACAGTAGCTAGAGAAACAACTGAGCCTAGCAAGAACCACGTGAGACAGACTAGCAAAGGAACTCCAGTACCCCAGCGGGCGGTCCTGTACAGGGTACGTGCACGATGGACACCGGGATTTACGGCCAATGGGACTGAATTCCACGGGAGGGGTGGGCAGGATGCAAGACGAAAGAACAACCCGGGTCCGATTAGGGATCTCGGATATCGTTGCATAGCATATTCCGATGGAAGATTCCCAGTAGGCGAGCTACCGATGCCTACGCGAGGCAGGCCAGAAAGGACCTTCCTACCCAGCTTTGAATGAGCGCGAGAGAGATTTCTCTAGAGATTCAACCCTATGAGCACCAAGTATGGAGGACACGTGGAGATAACAATCAGCGAAGCTGTACTTACTACGTAGAAACGTTGAGGATGCATGAGTATCGGGTTGCATAGCAGTGCGGCACGAGTCTAACGGGTTGGAATGCCCGTCCACTTCCCATCCACAAGATATACACATTTTCCACTTACCTGAGCAGGCTTCTTTGGGCATGCATGGCGTTTGACCATATAGGCCCAAGAGAAGCTCAGGCGCATCAGGCCCTCCCGCTGTTCTTCGGCATCTGCCGTGGGAGTATAAAAGTCAACCTCGCCACACGTCCCTCCCCCACCTTGGAGCACCTACATCCAACAAGCCCCTCACTACACTCTCACCAATCAACCTACAACATAATGAATTTGAAAGGCCTGCTCGGTGGCTTGAAAACCAAACAGTGCAAGGTACCGGTGGTGGTGCCCCGCAACGCGTCGTTCGCTATTGACGCCACACCGACCGCGAAGGAGGACAACGCCTTCGATGGGCACATTGATGTACTAGTCCTCCCGCACGAGACGGGGCCCAGGGTTACCAACCAGGTACGTTTGGTGGATCCACTCCTCATGTAGCTCTGACAAAAAAATTGGTCATTAGGTTTCTTCAAGAAGACAACTAATCACCAACCTGGCGACGGAAGGCTGTGTGGAGCCTGTGGTCTTGCAGCCTAAGCCACGCCGCTGGGATGCAAACCCACCTTGGGTAAATGGCACGGACTTTGACCCGGCACTCTTCCCTAATGCCAAACCCGCCGTCGACATTGTTGACTTCACCGAATACCCCGCTCTGTACCCCCTTACCCAGAGACTCTACTCTCAGGTCATCTGGTACCGTATCGAGGTCGCTAACTGGCCGCCTTTCCGATCCACCCTGCGCTTCGATCCCTTCGAGGACAACAGAGACGACGGCAGGCCCAACTCTCCCAGCAACACCACGTCGGCCGAGCTCTCTCCCGCGTCGTCGACCGACAGATTGCCTGCTATAACTACGCCCACTGACGAGGTCCCGCCCTCGTCCGCTTACAGCCACCATGCGTACAGCCCGCCACAGTTGGACAACGAGTACGTCCAGAAGTCCCCCGCTGCAACAGTGGCACGGCCGCAGAAGAGGTACAGACGGCCGATGGGGCCGCGACCGAGGCCAGAGACCCGCAGCGAGCGGGAACGTAGGCCCCCCTCCAGGTCTCCCGCCTCCGCGCAAGAGCGCGCCGGCGACCTCCGCATCCAACTCCTTCCCCATCCTATCAGAAACGCGCCAGGAGCCGGCTCGCCGACTGAAAGACGTCGGGCCGCCTCCAGGTCTCCCGCCTCCGCGCAGGAGCGTGGCGACGGTGGGATTTGTGCCGGTTGCTGAGACGCGCGAGGAGAGAGAACGCCGACTCGCTGCTGTCGGCCCGCCTCCGGGTCTGCCACCTCCACGCAGAAGGGCGCCGACGACATTCGAATTCGCCTCAGTCAGAGCCGTGTCGAAGACCCGTGAGGAGCGCGCTCTTCGCCTAACGAATGTCAGTCCTCCTCCGGGTCTCCCGACTCCCCCGGCCAAGAGAATTATCGCGATGAACGCGAGATCCACGGCAAGCCAAGAGACTCTTGAGCAGCGCGCCCGTCGTCTGAAGGACATCGGCCCTCCTCCAGGTCTGCCTCCTCCGCGTGCAAGAGAGCAGGTGGTCTCGGAGTTCGGCGTCGGCGGGGGTGGTAGCTCGGACTGCGTAAAGAGACGAGGGGGGAAGTTTTGTTATCACTAGCTTCTAAAAAGCGAGAGGAAGCGTCGGAAGAGCAATGAAAGGAAGGATAGGTTTTGGGACTTTGAGCGGTGATTGTCCCATATTTCTTTGTTTCGGTTCTGTACGAGTAACAGGGAAAGCGGGCGTGTTCTTCCTTGCTGGATTTCATTGCGTCTTTTGTACTATCAGAATGAATGCTGCTTCTGCTCTGCATCCATCTCGTGCCCTAGGACCTGAGGTTCGCAGATGGCCAGGAGTCAGACACCAATAACCTAGTTCATCACGTGTCAGAGACTTGGGCATCAAGGCGCGCAGCCATCCCTACAGAGTTCAAGTCGACTGCTAGCCGCAAGGGCACCGAGCACAGCAGGATGCTGACAGGAACACAGATTCAGTCTTAGCTGCACCGTTTGTGAGATCATCGCGATCACAACTTCTGCTCACCGCTGCGATACAGCTAGAGGAACAAGTGAGCCTAGCGAGAACGGCATGAGACAGACTAGCAAAGAAACTAGAGTGCCCCAGAGGGCAGTCATGTACAGGGGGCATGCACGGTGGACGCCGGTCTACGGCCGATGGGACTGAATTCCTCAGGAGGAGGAGGGCAGGAGGCAAGACGAGAGCACATCCCGGGTCCGAGTAGGGATCTCGGATATGGTGTCATGGCGGATTCCGATGGAAGCTTCCCAGTAGGCGAGCTACTGAGGTCATCGAGAGCATGCCAGAGAGGACCTTCCTTCCATCCCAGCTTTGAATGAGCGCGAGGCAGACATTTCTCTAGGGATTCAACCCTGCAGCCACGAATTATGGAGAGCATGCAGGATAACAGCCAACGAAGCTGTACTTACTATTAACCAGTGATCATCGGGTAGCCCGGTAGGACACCTAGACGCGTTGCGGACGTGAGCCAACAATCTGACAATGTTCGTATAGCCATTTTGGCATAGGAGCATTGGGTTGCATAGTAGTGTGGCGCAAGGCTAAGGGTCTGGAATGCCCGTCTCCCCATCCACAAAATATACGCATATTCCCCTTGCCCGAGCAGGCCATTGGGCATGCATGGCGTTTGACCATATAGGCCCAAGAGAAGCTCAGGCGCATCAGGCCCTCCCGTTGTTCTTCGGCATCTGCCGTGGGAATATATAAGTCAACCTCGCCACACGTCTCTTCAACCGCACCTTGAACCACATCCCCCACATCCAACGAGCACCTCACCAACCAACCAGCCACAACACGATGAACTTGAAGAATCTTCTCGGCGGCTTGAAAGCTAGAAACTGCAAGGTACCGGCGGTGGTGCCCCGCAACGCGTCGCTTGCTGTTCACGCCACACCGACCGCGACGGAGGACAACACCTTCGACGCGCTGGTCGACAGACTACGTATCCCGCAGAGTGCGTTGGGGAATACCAGCCAGGTACGGTTTGTTGGATCCGCTCCTCGTCTAGGTCTGAAAAAAGGATTGGTCATTAGGTCTCTTCGAGAAGATCACTAACTACCAACCTTGCGACGGGAGGCTGCGTGGAGCAGCCTGTGCTGTTCCAGCCTAAGCCTCGCCGCTGGGATGCAAACCCACATTGGATCAATGACACAGCCTTTGACAAGGCACTCTTCCCCGTTGCCAAACCCGCCGCCGACATCGTTGACTTCGCCGCACATCCCGCCCTTTACCCGGTCACCCAGAGACTCTATTCTCAGGTCATCTGGTACCGCATTGAGGTGGCTGACTGGCCGCCTTTCCGTTCCACCCCGCGCTTCGACCCCTTCGAGGACGATCAAGGCGACGATAGGCCCAATGCTCCGAGCCACACCATGTCCCTCAAGTCGGCCGAGCTCTCTCCCGTGTCGTCGAGCGACGAATTGCCTGCCGTCACCACCCCAATTGATGAGGTCCCGCCATCCGCTTGCGGGTTGGACGACGAGTGCGTCAGGAATTCTACCACTGCAATGGTGGCACGGCCACATAGGAGGTATGGACGACTGATGGGGCCGCGACCGAGACCAGAGACCCGCGGCGAGCGGGACCGTCGTTTGGCCGCCGCAGGCCCCCCTCCAGGCCTTCCGCCTCCGCGCATGACGGCACCGGCGACCTCCGACTCCAACTCCCTCGCATTCCTAACAGAGACCCACGAGGAGCGGACTCACCGACTGAAAGACGTCGGGCCGCCTCCAGGTCTCCCGCCTCCCCGCAGGAGCGTCGTGACGGCACGGTTTGCGTCAGCTGGCGAGACGCGCGAGGACAGAGAACGCCGACTCGCTGATGTAGGCCCGCCTCCGGGTCTGCCACCTCCGCGCATAAGGGCGGCGACGACGCTCGAATTCGCCTCGGTCGGAATGGTATCGAAGATCCCTGAGGAGCGGGCTCTTCGCCTGAAGGATGTCGGTCCTCCTCCCGGTCTCCCGACTCCCGGTCTCCCGACTCCCGGCAGACGTATCGCGACGAAGGCGAGATCTGCGGCAGGCCAAGAGACTCCCGAGCAGCGTGCCCGTCGTCTGAAAGATATTGCTCCCCCTCCAGGTTTGCCTCCTCCACGTACAAGAGAGCAAGTGGTCTCGGAGTTCGGCGTCGGCGGGGGCGGTAGCGCGACGTGCGTAAGGAGACGAGGGGCACAGTCTTGTTATAACTAGCTTCGACCAAGTGAGAGAGAGAGAGGCAGAAAAGCCGTGGCATGAAGGATAGGGTTTGGGACTTTGAGCGGTGATTGTACCATATTTTCTTTGCTTTGCTGTACGATTAACAGGCGGGAGGGGAGGGGAAAGCGGTTGTTTTCTTCCTTGCTGGATTTCATTGCATCTTTTGTATCATCAGAATATATTGCGCTCTGCTCTGCATCCATCGATGTTCATCCCATGCCCTAGGACCTGAGATTTGCAAATGTCAAGGACTCGGACCGCGATAACCTAGTTCATCACGTATCAGACTTTGGCACCGCGCGGCCATCCCTCCAGAGCTCAAGTCCATTGCTAGCCGCAGGGACGCTGAGCGCGTCAGGATGCTGACAGGAATACCAGCTTCAGTCGTAGCTGCACCCTCTGTGAGATCATCGCGATCGCAATTTCTGCTCATAGCTGCGATACCCACAGTAGCTAGAGAAACAACTGAGCCTAGCAAGAACCACGTGAGACAGACTAGCAAAGGAACTCCAGTGCGGCGGTCCTGTACAGGGTACATGCACAATGGACGCCGGTTTGCGGCCAATGGGACTGAATTCGTCAGGAGGGGGTGGGCAGGAGGCAATACGAAGGAACATCCCGGGTCAGACTAGGGATCTCGGATATCCTATCATAGCAGATTCCGATCGAAGCTTTCCAGCAGGCGAGCTACCGAGGTCTTCGAGAGCAGGCCAGAAAGGACCTTCCTTTCATCCCAGCTTTGAATGATCGCGATGCAGATATTTCTCTAGGGATTCAACCTTATGAGCACGGATTATAGAGGGCATGCGGAAATAACCATCAGCGAAGCTGTACTTACTACGTAGAAACATTGAGGACGCGAGTCTGCGTTCGTATACTCATTATAGCGCAGGAGTATCGGATTGCATAGTAGTGCGGCACGAGGCTAACGGGCTGGAATACCCGTCTCCCCATCCACAAAATATACGCATATTCCACTTACCCGAGTAGGCCTTTGGGCATGCATGGCATTTGACCATATAGGCCCAAGAGAAGCCCAGGCGCACCAGGCCCTCCCGTTGTTCTTCGGCATCTGCCGTGGGAATATAAAAGTCAACCTCGCCACACGTCTCTCCAACCGCATCTTGAACCACATCCCCCACATCCAACGAGCACCTCACTACTCTCTCACCAACCAAGCAGCCACAACACGATGAACTTGAAGAATCTTCTCGGCGGCTTGAAAGCCAAACAGGGCAAGGTACCGGCGGTGGTGCCGCGCGACGCGTCGCTCGCTGTTGACGCCACACCGACCGCGACGGAGGACAACACCTTCGACGCGCTGGTCGATAGACTACGTATCCCGCAAAGCGAATTAGGGAATACCAGCCAGGTACGGTTTGTTGGATCCGCTCCTCGTCTAGCTCTGACAAAAGAATTGGTCATTAGGTCTCTTCGTCAAGAGTACTAATTACCAACCTCGCTATGGAAGGCTGCGTAGAGCAGCCTACGCTATTCCACCCTAAGCCTCACGGCTGCGATGCACATCCGCCTTGGGTCAATGACACGCACTTCGACCCGGCACTCTTTCCCATTGCCAAACCGGCTGCTGCAACTCTTGACTTCGCCGAACAGCCCAGTCTCTACCCCATTACCCAAAAGCTCTATTCCCAGGTCATCTGGTATCGTATCGAGGCGGCCAACTGGCCCCCCTTCCGGTCCACCCCGGTCTTTGACCCCTTCGGAGACAACAAAGACAACGACGTGCCCGATGCTCCGAGCGACACCGCGTCCCCCGAGTCCGCCGATCCCTCGCCCGCGTCGTCGAGCGATGAGTTGCCCAGAGTATCCACGCCAGCCGACGAGGTCTCGCCTTTATCTGTTTGCGGCCATGACGCGCACGGTCGGCCACGGCTAAATAATGCATGCCCAGTGACGCCCGGGAATGCTCCTGAGTATGCGAGCAAGCCCACGACTGCAGCGGTAGCACGGCTGCAGCAGAGCTACGGACGTCCGAAGGGGCCACGGCCGAGACCAAAGACCCGCGGCGAGCGCGAACGCCGTTTGGCCGCCGCAGGCCCCCCTCCAGGCCTTCCGCCTCCGCGCAAAAGCGCACCGATGATCTCCGACTTCAACTCCCTCGCAATCCTATCAGAAACGCGCGAGGAGCGGGCTCGCCGACTCAAAGACGTCGGGCCGCCTCCGGGTCTCCCGCCCCCGCGCAGAGCGGGATTTGCACCGGTTGCTGAGACACGCGAGGAGAGAAAACGCCGCCTCGCTGCTATCGCCCCGCCTCCGGGTCTGCCACCTCCGCGCATAAGGGCGGCGACGACGCTCGAATTCGCCTCGGTCGGAATGGTATCGAAGACCCGTGACGAGCGGGCTGTTCGCCTGAAGGATGTCAGTCCTCCTCCCGGTCTCCCGACTCCCGGCAGACGTATCGCGATCAACGCGAGATCCGCGGCAGGCCAAGAGACCCCCGAGCAGCGTGCCCGTCGTCTGAAAGATATTGGTCCCCCTCCAGGTTTGCCTCCTCCGCGTACAAGAGAGCAGGTGGTCTCGGAGTTCGGCGTCGGCGGGGGCGGTAGCGCGACGTGCGTAAGGAGACGAGGGGCGATATCGAGTTATCACTAGCTTCCAAAAAGCGAGAGAGCCAGGGGGAAGAGCCATGATATGAAGGATATGTTCGGGACTTTCAGCGGTGATTGTACCATATTTCCTTTGTTTCGGCTTTGTGCGAGTAACAGGGGAAGGGGAGGGGAAAGCGGGCGTGTTCTTCTTTGTTGAGTTTCATTGCACCTTTTGTACTATCAGAATGGAATCTGCTCTGCATTCATCGATCCTCATCCCATGCCCTAGGACCTGAGGTTCGCGCATGGCAAGGACCCGGACATCGATAAAGCTGTCCACCACGTGTCAGAGAGGTTCGTACCTACTGAGTTGAAGCCGCGTCGACAAAGGTTTTCCGGACGCCTCCTGCATAGAGTATACGTTCTGTGAGATCGATCGGAAATAACTCGTGCCCTTTGTCCTTGCGCTGCAAGATACTGGCGGGAACGCCAGTTTCAGTCGTCGCTGCACCTACTGTGAGGTCGCCGTTTCGCAACCTCTGCGAACGGTAGCGACCACCCACAGTGGCTGCAGGAACAACTGAGCCTGGCAAGGACAGGGCGACTCGGATCGCGAAGGGACTCAGATACTCGAGTGGGCGGTGCTGGACTCGGACAGGGTACATTAACGATGGACGCCGATTGCCGGAAAATTGGGATGGAACTCTTCAGGGGGGGACGACAAAAGAACATCCACGTCCGTAGGAACGTTGGATCGCGTGTCACAGCAGATTCCGGTGGAAGCTTCCTAGAATGCGAGCACCGAGGTCCTCGAGAGCAGGCCAGAAAGCTCCTTCCGTACTCACCTTCCGTCCTAGCTGCCTCTGTTATCCGTCTGTACGTCTTCGCACTGGCAAGGAGTTGGGCGAGACCATGCCTCGTGACGTCCATTGAAAACACGCCGAGGAAGAATTGGGGTGTTTTGATGCTTGCTTAGAGCGCAGATTCCGCTCGAACGATGGGGTAGCCCAAACATTGAGGGTTAAAGGGTCGAATAAGGTTGTAGTTCGCTCGCTCAGAGTCATCGGACAGCACTTCGAGGACGTTTCTCTCCCCATGTTTCAGGGTTGAGTCCAGCGATGCTTGACGATACGTAGGGGAACAGACAAGATACACCGCTCAGTGGCTTAGAGGCTGGTGAAGTCTACAAGCAAAAGACCGTGACTTCCCTATCTCAGACTCTCCGTGCAGCGCAACGACAGGCAACGACCCGGATATGGCCACGGTGGATAGTAACAACACGGTGTATTGTCACGTAGCTCACTTCGACGGACTTAATTCCTATCCACTATGTACGTCCCACACTCCGAATCGTTGCAGATAATAATATTTACCAGGTCTTCCTGAGATGTGCTGTTTAATGTATGCAAATGACTGGCTATGAGGCGCGTGTATCGAATGCTGGCTACATAGCGGAGTTAACACCGAAGCTTGACGAAACAGACCTACATTTCTATGGCGTCGTAGGCTCGCAGCTCAAACGAAACTGAACAGTCGCCCGCTGCTTCAGCTGAGCACGGATACCAAGGATGTCACCCGTGCAGTCCTCCAACTCGCAGCCCCGAAGCCTTGATCTTCTTCTCCCTCCGCGGACACAAAGGCTACAGTGCTTCTCCAACTTCTTTCTGCTCCATGCTGTCCCGCTTCCATAACGTCCCAGAGGTTGTAATGGCTATTCACTTCGGACGGATCAAACAGCTGTCACTTAGTGGATGCAGCTCGTGACAAAGGACTGCTTTACTGGGCATACAGACTCCTCATCCATTCAGCGCTTGTACGTCAATGGACAAGCTATACAGAACCCGTCTGTATACCTTATACACGATGGTTTGATGCACCCTAGCTACCCCCCCTCCCCCACCATGGGCAACCACCCCTCCGTGCTTGACCCCACCACCGAAAACCCCGCTCCCACCACCCACCCGGCCCCAGTTGCCTTCATCCTCGGCGCAAGCCCCGGCGTCGGGTACAGCGTCGCCCACGCCCTCAAAGCGCACGGCTACAAAGTCGCCCTCGGCTCGCGCCACCCCCACCCCTCTCCGGACGACTCAGAGGACCCGGATAAAGACTTCTTGCGCGTCGCTGTCGACGTGGGCGACCCCGCGTCCGTAAAGGCTGCGTTCGAGCACGTCCGGCGGGAGATGGGCGTGCCGAGCGTGGTGGTGCACAACGGTGTGTAGTATCAGTATGCCAGTCCGGGGTGGGTTCTCGATATGGAAGCTGACACCAATGACATGGAGTCTCGACCAACCCCTCGGCCCCCAACCCCGCCGACCCGCTCTCCCTGCCCTACACCGACTTCGCCGCGGGCGTCGCCACCGGCGCGGGCGTCCTCGCCGCCGCGCAGCACGCGCTCGCCGGGTTCCGCTCGCTCAAGCAAAGTGACCCCGACGCCGCGCACCATGCGCCGAAAGTCTTCATCACCACAGGCAACATCATGCCCTTCCGCCCCGCCATCCCCCTCTTCGCCACCCTCGCGGCACAGAAGAAAGTGTCCGCGCACGTGATGGAGCTCTGCGCGGGGGCGTACGCGAGCGAGGGTTTCCGGTCAGCTTTAAGTTCTCCCTCTTCCTCCTTGCTTCTTCCTCCTTCACTACTCACGGGTTCCCGGTGTGCGCCGGCAGATTCTACTTCGCCTCGCAGGTAAACGACAAGGGTGGGTTCCCGGGGGACGAGTTCAACCCGCGCGCGCACGCCGTCGCCTACTGGGACATCATATCCTTACAAAAGCAGGGGAGATGGGATTATAGGTGCGCTCCCGGGCGCGTCGGCGTTGTTCTGGCCGTGTTGACCTGGCGCGTGCAGGTTTACGAAGGACGGGTCCTTGCTGTCAGAGTACTGACATCGCCGACATGTATGTGTATACTCATGCTTCAGCACACTTGCTCCAATATTATGCCGTCGTTGTCCCGCGACGACGGGTACACCCAGCTGAGTGAATGTAGTGCGCCTTCAAGCTCCACGCAACCCCAAGCACAAGGTATTGAAAGAACGCTGACCATGCTGTCGCTAGCCGACACTTCATCCGCCTTCGGTACTCGAGTGAGCCAGCTGGCACATTCCTTCCAGCGCACACCAGTAAGCCAAGGCGAACACTAACAAAACAGGTATCGCGATACATCCTCGAGGTCGTGACTAAATAATACAAATTACAAATGCGTGTATCCCCCCGCCCCCCTCCTTAGTGTTACCTACACCTACAAAACCCCACCTTGGACCACAAACGTGCTATTCCCATACACACCACCCTGACCATCGCCCCTCGCAGAGCCCGTACTCTCCGCGAACCACCACAGCGTAGTCACGCCCACGGGGAAGGTATACGTCGCCTATCATGCCACCCGCACCAATGAACAATCAACGCCTTCAACGAGATGTGCAGGTAAGGAAGGGAAGGAAAACGCACCTGCTTCCCCCTGAACTCAATAGTAGCTGTAATAGGCTGCGGGTTCCACTGCCCGTTCGTATTGTCCGCCCTGTCGCCCACCATTCCGTCAATCCCAGCCACAAACAACGTTCACGCAGCCCAAACCCGGCCCCCCCCCCCGCCCCATTCACACACGCACGCACGGGGCCCAGAACATCCTGAGAGTAACTTGGAGCGCTCACCAGTTTGTCACGACCAGACTATACCGATCCCAGTCCGCCGCGTTCTTGCGCGCGGTCTGGTACGCGCCGACGACGAGGCCCCACGCCATGTCCCCGCCCACGCTCGCGCTGATCATCTTCGCGAACGGCCCGCCCGTGTCCTTCGGGATGACCGCGCGCGACGCCTGCGCCATCGCGTAGACTGCGGTTCAGAGCATGAACGCAGCGTTGCGGTATGGGCAAAGACGCAAGGAGTCAGCCCACTCCGCACCACCACTCCAGGTGACTACTCACACTCCTGGTTGACGCTCCACGTCCCCTTGCCCGTGTCAATGGTCACGACCCCGCGGCACCCGGCCCCGCCGCAGCTGTCCGTGCCGGGCAGCTTCGGGTTCCCGCTGCCGTCGAGCGCCCAGCACCACATCGCGCCCGTCTTCGCGTGGTGCGTGATCGCGCCGGTCATTCTGTTTGCCATCAGCGCGTAAGCCGCAAACCTGGGCCCCCCTTGTACATACAGGCACGCACATGTTGTCCATATACCACTGCGCGATTCGACGGTAAGTGAGGAGCGTGAGGGCGATGGAAAAGACAAGGAAAAGAAAGGAAGCAGTGGGCACCTTGATATCGCTCCACCAATCCGACCCGATCGTCCCCGCGCACTCGGTAAAGTACACCTCCTTGCTCGGGTACTGCGAGTGGAACGTGTCCTGGTCCGACACCTGCCCGCCGTAGCAGTGGAACGACACGCCGGAGAACGCGCCGGCGGCTTGCTGCATCTAAGGTCTAACGTAAGCGCCTGAATCGGGAGTGTTTTTGACGGCAGGAACGGGGAGGGGGAGAGGGAGGGACAGGAAGGGAGACCGAACGAGAAAAACGCACTAGCTGCACCGGGTACCCCCCCGCGTCGTCCCAATTATGCTCGTACCCCACAATCTCCACGCCGCCAAACCCGTTATTATCCATGAGTGTCCGCAGCGCGGCGCCGACCGCGGCCTCCGTCGACACGGGCATCTTGGTGCTCGGGTAGGTGGCGTCGCTGTTTTCGGGCTCGTTCTAGAGGGGCGGGGGTGAGCACAGGGGCGGGGAGAGAGGGGGGAGAAGAAGAGGAAGGGAGAGGAGAGAGGAGAGATACCTGGATGCTGATGGCGTACAGCGGTATGCCTTTGCTCTGGAAGCCCTGGAGGCATTTCAGGAGGTAGTTCGCGTCTGCAGGGGAGGCGGTGAGCTGTGGCGAAGCACGGGCTGAGGACCATACAAACGCACAGGTGTTGATGTAGTTCGTATTCAGCGTCCCCCCCTTCATGGTCCCGCCGCTCTTCATCCACCCGGGCTGCGCACACGACATTCAATTCAATTCAGCCACCCACATACCCAATTGATGATACTGAACTGATGAATAGAGGAGGAACTCACGGGCGACCACGGGAGTATCTGGATCTTGAGTATCGAGTTGACGCTCATGATGTCTTGGATGGTGGAGAAGAGGTAGGAGGGCGCGTTGTTGATGTTGAAGTTGTTGAGCGCGGTGTCGCCGCTCGTGTCGTCGAAGCTGTAGACTGCGCGACAGCCTTAACATCACTCATTGGGTTATGGTGTGGAGGGCGTGCGTACCGCTGGCTGAGAAGTCGGACGCGCCGAGGGGCACGCGCAGGAAGGTGAAGCCGGCGTTGTGGTTCCCGTCGGTCGCTGCATGGAGGTGGGCTGTCAATTGGGGTGTCTGTGGGCTGGGGACGTACGGTCGAATAGGTAGTTTAGCAGCGACCAATATTGGTTCGCGTTCTTGGACTGATGTAGATAATAAGCCGTGCTGAAGACACTCGTTCAAACAACGCGCTTACCTTGAGCTGGCTCAGGAGGAGTGCCGACGAGTCGGCTTGCAACGCGGCTCGTTAACTTGATAAGAGGAGCGAATATAACGACCATCGGACGTACTGAGAGTAGCCCCGAACCCGATTACCGTCTGGTACGTCTTGGCATCGTCGACGACGATATCCGCCTGCCCCGTCGCCCCGGGCGTGCCAAAGTTGATCACGGGCGACGGCTGGGAGTAGGTGAAGAGGCTGGTTCTGTCCCATTTCGTAGTGAACTGGGGAAGGGTCAGTTCAGTGACTGGACAAGACGTCGGGGATGCGTACCACGTCCCAGATTTGCTGGCCGGCGATGGGGGACGCGAGCGCGAGCCACCCGAGCAGGGCACACGTTCCGCGCATAACGAGCAGAGACAGGCAACGTGAAACTGGAAGCGGCACCAGCTCCTTTATTATAATATCCCCGCCCGCGCATTTCACAAACCCCTCGTCACACTGGCCCTCGGCTCCGCGCCCGAATTGCAGCAGCCGTGACGGAAAGCCAGAACTGCGACCAAGTTCTATCATCTCGGAGTGCATTCCTCTTCTGTTGGGCTCTGTCCGTGCCAGGGCGGCGATAACACGCGCAAAATTCCAGGTTTCGCACTCGTCCAAGCTGGAATGCTCAGCCCATCAGGCGAGCGAGAACAGCGATCTGGCTTGGCGAGCGAGTTCTCCGGCCCCGTTAGTGCACGCTGCTCGCAACCAGCTGCTGATGCTACCGGCGGTACTGTAACTCTACGCTGCTTCTCGCCAGAAGCGTAAAGCCCCTAAACGCGATCGGTGGCGTCGCGGCTACCAGACATTGGTTTGCCTAGAACGGATACAGTGGGTATAATATACATATCTGGGCGCGTATACTGCCTCGGTGTCGTAAAGGTCAGGTCGTGAGCGGGTGATAAAACAAAAATATGAATGTTTCTTAACCTCAAACTTGAACTGAACATGATTAATTCCTGTGGAACGTCTGGACCCGAATACTACTCTCCTCCGTCTCCGCAACAGAACTCTCATTCACAGCGTACCACCACAACGTCGTCACGCCCACGGGGAACGTATACGTCGCCTGCAAAGCGACTTTAATCTCCGCAACCCCCAAACCGAACCCCGAACGCACCTGCATATCCCGAAACTCGATCGTCGTCTGCACCGGCTGCGGGTCCCACTCCCCGCCCGAGTTGTCCGCCCAGTTCAGCACGACGAGCGAGTACCGCAGCCAGTCGCTGGACGATACGCGCCCCGTGACGTACGCGCCGACGACCAGCGCCCAGTTCATCGCCCCGCCGACGCTCACGCCGACGCGCTGCCCCCACGGCCCGTCCGCGTCGCGCGGCAGGATCGCCTTGGACGCCTGGCCCATCGCGTAGACTGCATCCAATGTCAACATTCAGTTCAGCGTGAACCGAAGACCTGGGGGCACGCACACTCCTGGTTGACGCTCCACGTCCCGTCCCCGTTGATCTGCGCGACGCCGCGGCACCCGGCCCCGCCGCAGCTGTCCGTCCCCGGCAGCTTCGGCAGCCCGCTCCCGTTCAGCGCGAGGTTCCACATCAGCCCCGACTGCGCGTGGTACGTCAGGCCCGTGATGAACCTCGTCGGCGCACATTCCCATTCAGCGTTCACTTGAGCCGGGCCAACGCGTACTCACAGGTTGTCCATGTACCACTAGTCGGCGGTGAAATGCGGTAGGTGAGGGAAGGAAGGGCCAACGCACCTTGATATCGCTCCACCAATCCGACCCCAGCGTGCCCGAGCACTCCGTGAAGTAGATCTCCTTGGTGGGGTACGCATTATAGAAATCCGACTGGTTCTGCACGTCGCCCGCGTAGCAGTGGAACGCGACGCCCGCGAACGCGCTGCCGGCCTGCTCCATCTACTCCACCCGCCCATAACACCCGCACCACACATGGCACGCAAGTTATATCAAGTCAACTTCGCGTGAAGGAGGGAGGAGGGAGGGAGGGACGCGCACCAGCTGCACCGGGTACCCGCCCGCGTCATTCCAATTATGCTCGTACCCGATCAACCTGACTCCAGAGAACCCGTTGTCGTCCATCAGCGCGCGCAGGGCGACGCCGATTTGCGCCTCGACGGCGACGGGCATGTAGCAGCTCGGATAGGTGCTGTCGCTGTTCTCCGGCTCGTTCTAGGCAGAGGGAGTAAATGTCGTCGCTGGCGCAAGCGACGTTGACGGCATGCGCACCTGGATGCTGATGGCGAAGGGCACGATGTTCTTAATCTGGAAGCCTTGCAGGCACTTCAGGAGGTAGTTCGCATCTGGCACCGCACACCGTCATCCCGGGCTCCAGCCGATAACCCCATCAATACACCACCCACAAGTGTTGATGTAATCCGTGTTCAAATCCCCCCCATCCATCGTCCCGCTCGTCTTCATCCACGCCGGCTAGAAGGACACCGCACTCGTCAGCACACGATGCGCGCGGGGACTGGAATTCAGACGCACCGGTGACCACGGCACGACGTGCACGCGCAGGTACGGGTTGACCGACTGGATGTCGTATATGGTGCGGAAGACGTAGTCGGGCTCGTTGTCGATGTTGAAATCGGTTAGCGAGGTGTCGCCGGACGTGTCGTCGTACGTCCACACTGCGCGCAGTGATTACATTTCGAGGTAAACGGAGGAACGGAATGGGGGGAGGGAGGGAGGGAGGGTGCTTACGGTTGGCAGAGAAATCGGACGCGCCGAGGGGCACGCGCAGGTACGTGAAGCCGGAGCTGTTCGCGCCGTCGGTCGCTGGGCCGGGTTCAGCTCGGCTCAGTGGCCTCAGTGCATTACTCACGGTTGAAGAGGTAGTCCAGGAGCGACCAGTAGTTGTCCGAGTTCTGCGTCTACTTCCCGACCATTCGAATGCAAAATCCTGCATGGGAGCGAACCGAGGACTGACCTTCAGGTTGCTCAACAGGAGCGCGGAGGAGTCAGCTTGTGGCAGGTATGAATCAGAGGAGTGAGGTTGAGGAGACCAGGGAAGGGCAGTTACTGAGCGAAGCGCCGAAGCCCCAGATGGTCTGGTACACCTGCGTGTCGTCGACCACGATATCCGCCGCGCCGATCGTGCCCGGCGAAGTAAACTCGATCGGCGGGTTCGGCGGCTGGAAGTACGTGAAGAGCTTCGAGCGGTCCCATGTCGTTTGCCACTAGAGTACGATTAGCGACACCCCCTGCCTCGAGGCGAGGTACCTACAATGTCCCAGATCTCTTGCGATGCGACCTTGGAAGCCAGCAGGGTACCAGCGAAAAGAGCTGTGGCGAACCGCATCCTTGTCTTTGGCCTTCAAGTTCGAGTCTAAGACCAGCTAGCCAACGTCACGGTGCTGGTCCAGGGAGGCGGGTCGAACCTCGGATGCACCATGAGGCTTTTAATAGGGCTCGGGCCCGCCCTGGAGTTCCTCCCGATCCGCAACAAGAAGAACAAGAGGAATTCTTTCTTTCCCAGAGCCTTCATTAAGATCTCCAGCCCCGGTGGTCACCACGGCTCAGATAGAAGCATGGGAAGATGCGTAACCACAACGTTGCGGCCTGCTTCAGATTCTCAGGATACGACGGGAGGAAGACTAAGAATATCGCAGTTACCGTCCGTTATGCTCCTGGCGGAAGAATTTGTATCCAGATTGCTGCATACATTTGGGTCATTTCACCTCTGGGCATGAGACCTGCTCGGTGCGCAGCAGCGAGAAGCAGAGTATCTGTCCTATACTTGACGACCTGAGGGTTCATGAGGTCAGCGATACGTACGGATCCCCATCATTGAACATGATGTTCAACTGAACAAGTCAATTATGGCACGCGCGCTGTACGGCGGGGGGTCACTTCGTGTCCTTCAAGCTCGGACATTGCTCGGACATCTGAATGGGACGCATTCAGCCAAATCGCTGGAGATTTCAAAACCAATGGTAACAGAGTAACGAACGAACCAGGAGGGCATCTTTCCGATGGAATTCGCGGTCTGGACTCTGCGCTCGGTAGCTGTACCGGTACGCAAGTTATCGGGCGCCACCCAGGGCGCTTGTGGTCAAGCCCAGTATCCATCACGCGTACATCGTGATATGTTCTCATGAACGCAATTCATACCTGTCGCTTTCATCGGTATTAGGATTTAAGCTTCACAGCGGATCAGTCCAAAGCACTCGCGCGAACAGATACAAAACAGGTACATAATAACGACACTCTAGAACAAGCCCAACAGGTCATCCGCAGGCTTCTGTGTCTGCACCGGCGATGCCACGCTAGAACCCAGCGATGTCGGCGGAGCCGAGTTCACGGGTGAACCAAAGCCATTCTCGCCACCGAATGCGAGCCCTCCGAATGGGTTCTGCGGAGCCGAAGCTGCCCCGGTCGTCCCTCCTCCAAATATTGACACGAGATCGTCGAGAGGATTGGCGGAAGTTCCGGCTAAAAGGTTTGCTGCGGCTGGCGTCTGGGGAATGATGGTGGTCGCAGCCAAACCTGATGGTTGACTGTCCGAAGCAGGAACATCGTCGAAGTCCAATAGGTTTTCTGATTGTTGACCTGCCGCGACGGTCTGAAGGGCTTTCTGGGTGGCGAGCCGATCGTCCACAAGGCTAGGGTGGCATATCAGTATCAGGAGCTATCCATATGCTGATGCAATAGGAGAGGGAAGACAAATGATAGATGGACAAAAATACGTACTCTTGTCCCTTTCGCTGTACAGAGTCTGCGCCAACCCTCCCGCGTCCGATAAATGTTTCCGCGGGCTTGTGGTAGACACTTGCTAATGTGCCTATCTCGGCCAGTAGCTCCTCCAACAGGACAGGTGATACGGTTGTCCTTGATAATGATATCGGAGGCCGCTGTGCGAGCACAACTCCCTAGAATTGGAAGTTCACGGCTCAAAGTCTTCGGACAGCACAACACGCGGAAGTTTACCTTCGCAGCAGCGGGATCTGATGATAACAGCCGCCAGTAAATGTACGCACGGTCTCGGACATCGGGTGAATCGCAATCCTTCGTGGCTGTGTTCAATATTCGCTGCACCAGACCTTGGGACACGTCCGGCTTCTTCAAAAATAGCTTCACCACGGCAGTCAAGGTTTGCAGTTGCACCTATGCATTCATTCGGAACACGACTTCCATTCAGCTCTGGAGTATCAGCCAGGCTAGAAGCGCAGCTCACCGGATACGACTCCTCTGTGAACGTGTCCACGAACATGTTCAGGAGTTCGTCGGCGTTATCAATCCTGCTTGCATACTCGCCGATTATCCAAATGAGGGAGGCTTTCGCCTCGGGCTCGTCTAGCTCGTCCAGGTTGGCACATAGAGTGGGGATGATGCCCTCATACGTCGCGGGGTATTTTCGGAAAATGTCCTAAGCCATGTCAGCTGCTGATAACAACAGAACAGGAAGGAGAGCGGTACCTTCATGACCACCATGGCTTCTTGGACGACATAGCTTACCCGGGTGGCAATGAGGTCCAGTAGAACATTCACGCAACGCTCTGCCGCGGAGTCGATTTTGATGGCGGTCTGCCCAATAGCCTTGATACTCTTTCGTACAAAGTCGACGTCGACCTCTGAAGCGTATCTGTTCCGCGTACATTAGCTCTCTAGTCTGTGCAACTTCTCGCAGAACCCACTCCTTCAGTTCACTCAGGAGAGCGTCCACATTATTGTCGTTTGCTAACCGGACCATGATATCCAGTTTCTCTACCTTGACGTACAGTGGGTCGTTGTATTTGCAGAAAAATACGCGCATTTCATTCTGCAGCAGGTCTGATCTTTTCTGCAATAGGAGGTTGATATTTCGAAGGGCGACCCATTGGACCTCCGGGGGCGAAGACAGGAGCGTGACAAGTGGCGGGGCCATCTTGCGAATGAACTGCTTGCAAAGGTCTTCTCTCCGGATCCCTCGCATGTGGATCATGATAACCTTCGTCGCGTATAGTTCAGACGGATTCAACATATCATGTAGATGAGTCAGTTGGCGCACCTTGACGGCTGCAAAAACAACGCTCCCGTTGACATGCTGGAACTGGGGAATCACTCGTTCGCAGATATGCTCTCGTTCCTTTTCATCGTCCGTTTTATATCTGGCCAAGGCATCAAGAATGGCAATACGACCCCATTCTGAGCATTCGTTGAGAGCGATGAGTAATTTATTGAGGATGTTGGTAGTAACGTTGAATAGCGCGGGGTCGTCCGGGGAGTAATCGGGTTGAGAGGTGACGGAAGCATGAATGTCAGACAGGGCTGCGACGGTATTTGCAACTACCTGATGACTATGAGGATATTCAGATCTATGGGGTGGAGGCCAAACTTACCATTGGGTTACTATCCGCAATCATGTCATGCAATTGCTCCAAAAATCCATTCTCCAAGACCAGCTCCGGCTTCAGATCATACAATTTTGCGACACACAGGGCAGCCGTCTTGCGGACATACGGATTGTCATCTCGCAAGCACTTCTGTAGCGGGTCGCTAACGTAGTCGATGATCTTCTCCGCGCGCAGCATGCCCATTGTACGAATCGCCAGGGCGCGAACAAGGGGGTTGGGGTCATCCGAATCTTTCACGAAGGTGTTGACGGCGAGGATCACCAATTCGGGCTGTGTCTTCGCGTAGTTCATGAGGTACAGGTAAACTAACTTCTTCTGCTCCAGATCATCCGTCTGCATGTTCTTCAAGACGTCGGGGAAGAGCCCGCTGACATCTTCAAGTATGTCAGATTCCCCTAATCAGAATGGGTGGACAGTTGCACGCACCTTTCCCCACCGTCATAGACGCTATGACACGCTTGATCGCATCCTTCCGCTTGTCTCTGTATTCACTATTGAGGTCTTGACTAAGCTCGTAGTTTTCACCTAGAGATATTATTCTGTTACCTGGAGCATGTAAAGGGGAAGATTCACTTTACCTTTTCGTGGTCCTGCCCGGAAGCTCATCGGGTTAGAGACACTATGCGATTCAGGAGCAACTTGGGCGATGACCGATATGAGGCGCTCTTTACTACTATCAGGTCAACGTCCGCTCCCCAGGGAGGCAAAGTCAAGAACCACAAGGGAATAAGCACAGAAAGCGGAAGCTGTATGTTGGTGGCTAAAGCAGAGATGATCCGGAACGCGTTTCGAGCAGCGCGGCCGGACGACTTGTATCCTGCTTTCATCTGTAGAACGTCCCGAGGACGATGCCTTTCGAGCGCATCTACTTGTTCTAAGTCTATTACCTCGCGAGCCATTAGGATCCATCTGAACCTATCAAGTGAAGTCTGAATATTGTTCTTGCGATCGATTTTGGATCGATTTGCAGCTCGAAGATGCAGCGGACGAAATCCTCGGCCACAGAGACCTGCCTTGCATGCCCTGATATTATTCCGAATCTACTGCGACAGTTATTTGCTGCAAACGACTACATTTCTCTACTGTCCTGCGCGCTAGTGAATAGGACCTTCAGCGCTGTTTCCAGGAGATTCCTGTACTATCGAGTGGCTTTCGTCGGCAAAGAGGGTCATCACAGGACGCTGAAATTCAGGCTCGGTGACGATCGAAAGCTACGAATTAATGCTGAGGTTCGTATTGTCTACTGTGACGTCGTCTATGTCTTGCATTTGACGCGTTGGTCGTTTCTCGCCAAGCGACATTTCCAGTCAGCTCTGGCCTCGGGAAACGCTGTACATGTCAAGCACATGTATATTTCTGGTGCGTCTTCTGTATTGGAGAACGTGGCAATCATAGCCGAACCTGTTGGCTTTAACCAGGCTCGCACCTTCACCCCGCGTGCGACGCAATCCGATCCTTCCCGTCACTGCAGACGTTATCAGTCAACCCGGACTTTTCTGGTGATATCAGTCGATTCCTTAGAAGTCTCTCAGATGCTATCCACTCCTTACATCATACGTTACGTACGCTTGAAGTCTGGGAGAGCTGCTTCATCGAACAAGATTATTACACGCCAGGCGGGATCAACAGCGTGAATACCATAACCGAGGATGACGAGGAGCAGGAGGATGATGCCGATATCCACGACAGCAGGGCGAATGCTGATGTCCTAATGGACATCTGCCCGGCAGACCTGAAGAGTCTCATCATCCATAATCCGAAGACGACGCTTTTGGCCAATTTACCAGGTTGGATAGACAGGCTCCGGGCTTCCGGCAAGTTATCAGAAATTGCATTAATTGTAAGTCTTGGTAGGCTGCCGACATGGATGGAAGCTCTGATAAGCCAATCGTCTCTGTATGTCAGGACAATGCTGGACCTGTGACTCCGGCAATACTTTTGTCTTTGGTACCCACTCTCTCTATGATTCATATACAGAACCTTTCAGTGGGCCTTTCTTATTCGCTTACTGACACGAACCTATTCTCTGCACTCAATAGCTTGCACGAACTGAGGGAATTATCGGTATGCTACTACCTCGTGAGCTGAACTGGCTATCCGTCCCGCATTGTCGTTACAATCCTAGTTTCCAGCAACTCAACACGCCTTCTGTCCTCCCGAGCCTTCCCAATCTCCGTAACCTACGAGTAACTCATACGGGACCTCCGATCAGCACTATTCGGGAAGCTACTCTCTTCTCGAAATTCGTACGGAGGATCATACGGGATTCCCCAACCTTAGAAGAGATTGAGCTTCGCAGGGAAGGCTTCGACCACAAGAGGGACCTTCAGCTATCGTGCACTAGTCCCCGACGGACACACACTTTATTCAAATCGTTCCGCGATCCTTCCCCATCCTTGACTCCGCTCATCCTGCATCTAGCTACGGCGAGGCATTCTGTTAAAGTACTGAAGATGGCTGACTTCTTCGTGAATGCGAAGCACTTGGCTAAATTCTGCAAAGCCCGCGGACAAGGGATAGAACATCTGGAGATCGGGATCGGAAGAGCGATTCTCCTCGGCCTGTCTCAGACGGTTGCCTCCCTTACGAACCTGAAACGGTTGCAACTGCGTGTAACTGGCGTGAGGCGAAAGCTGCTGAATGGTTGTCTCGAGGCATACGGAGAAAGTGTAGGACGTCCTTCTGAGCGTTGGATCGATCCCTTCGTGCGTAAACTTCCAGGCGGGCTATTCTGGCTAGATATCAATGGTAGAGAATGGGAAGTAAGTGACTGCGCTAACGCTCGTTATCCACTCCGAAACTAAAATGACAAGATATCATGGGCATGTCCTTCCCCAGCTAAATCGAGGAGTCAAAGCGAGATACCTTCACCCACCAGGGTTGTCACCGAAATGCAGCGGAAGAAAGTGGTTTGGGAGTAGTGGTAGTTGGCGATATAAGAGCTATCCGCAGTCGGCTATTGGTAATCTAGGGATGTTGTGAGCAGCTTTCTCTTGTACATGACCTTGCCTACATGTTTCTAGTCATCGTAGGAGAAACTGCGATCGATATCCGCCGCTTTCACTCTCCTCCCCGCAGGAACCACGTCGGGGACGGCCTTCCGAAGCATCGCCATGAGATCCTGAGACCCAGCAGGCGGTACCCAGTCGTGTATCTCTAGGCGGGCTATAGGGAGACCTACCCGTCTACGCTGCGATAATGAGTAGGCAAGATGCTTCAGCATATCCTCGTCCTTGAACGTATGTTCCCCGCTTTCTATGACGATCGTGTGTAGGATCGGTAGCGGCGTGCTGCGACCCAAGTCGGCTGGCGCTAGCATGACGCTAGTGCCAGTAATGTGATCCTGGTCGGTCTCGCATAACGCCCCAGCCAGGTCTATGGGCATGAATGCAACCTCGAATCTCCTCACGCCAGGGAAACAACCGAGCAACTCTACCCAGGCCTGACGCGAAGCTTGCCCAAGAATGAATCCTGGAATGCGTAGATGTTCGACATGATGTGCGAGAGGAAGCGCGGCACACGTCTTACTAGCGAGGTCCAGGCTACCCCGCCGCTGGGTACATTGCAGTGCCAAGTAGACGTGGGCGTCGTTGGCGTCAGTGCTTGTCTTTCCTTCGAACCTCACGGCGTGCCCGGAGAGCGTCAGATCCACACTTGCGATATTAACGGCGTCTGTACCAGTGACAGGTAGGATGGACTGGTAGAGTCTTTCGAAGCCGTCGATGCGGGTAGCTCTGCAGTATATGACCAGGCTGGTCGTCGCTGGAAAGGTAAGGTATTCCAGCATGGTTGTCATGTTCTCGCTAGGGATACGGAGGTGCTCTCCGAGAAACAGATGAGTAAGCAGAGGAAGGTCCACCCTGGGATATCCGTGGTTCAGATCTGTATATCTCTCCTTCTCATTGAACACAGTCCGCAGCTGGAGTTCTGTCAAGCGTGGAGACATGGAAAGGATATGGAGCATCTCCTCTGGGGTCGTCTTGCTGAGGACACTGTGAAGCCCAAGTTTGGTGAGGTCCTTGAAAAGAGGAGAAGTCCAGTCGCAGCTGAAGCCGCGTAGGGTTAAATGGTGTAGACGAGGTGCCCGTAATCCGAAGAAAGCGGTGGAAGGAGGGGGTAACTCGTGATTCAGCTTCTTCCTCATTTCCCAGGTTTCGAGTAGCGGAGCTTCGTCTGGAAGTTCTGCCATGACTTGATCGATGTCGAAACTCATCCCCGTGACCAAGAATTCCTTGACACGGCGGAAGTGAGTCATTACCAGGCGGGCGCTGTCCATACTTTCCGCGTCGTCCACATCCAGGGATACCCTTAATGGTATGACACCAGAGCGGCCTAGCACGGTAGATGACCATGTCGGATGCTTAGCACTGACGAAGTTCCAGAATTTAGGCTCGTCGAGGGCAACTGCCCTCCAATGTCGGCAGACACGGCTTAGCTTGACGATGCTCACTTGATCGAGACCTCCACCGTTAATTGCGACTGCAGCGAAAACGGATGCCAGAATCTCTGGAGGAAGATCGCCGATCGGGAAAGTACTCCATCTTGCGTTATTTTCTTCCACTTGAAGGTCGGGTCCTTGTGGGTTACCAGTGCTTGCCTCCGGGTAGGACTCGGAGCTGTTTTCAGGATCTCCATTGGTAGATCTGTAAGGACTGGAAAACGTCCCAGAGTCATCCGATATATCCGATAAGTTGAAGTTTCGGGCATCTGAAGTGTCCCAGAGTCAGATCATACCACTCTAGTATGCGCATTGGTCTAACATTGATCCGTCGATAAAGCCACATACCGTCTCGTCGCCACGGAGCCATTCGAGGCATCATTCTTGCAAGTGTCCTTAGATTACTAGGCCCTCACGTCGGTTGAACGGCCAGATAATACTCACTCCTACTTATATAGGTCGACGCAGAAGATGACGTCGAAGGGAGCGCTCATGATCAGGAGTTCGAAGCGTATAACAGCTGATTGCAGAACGATAGACGCACCTAATATTTTTACTGCTGGGGCGCCTGCCAATCAAAACCGCCTAATGCAGAAGAAGGGGAGCGCGTGGCAGCCGCCACTCCACTTTTGTCGGGGTAAGCTGGGCGCTAATGCGCTCGATTGCCCTCGAACGAGTAACTGACGGCTTTCTAAGCCGACTTCTCACCTTTTATGGCCATTTTGTGGTTGTTTGGCTTTGGATTAAAGCAGGAATTTCAAGTGCGTCTATCGTTCTGCAATCCGCTGAAATATGAACGCCACAATCTGGCCTGATGCCTGAGGAATCGACGACTACGAATCGCTACGTCCGAATAGCTTGTGAGCACCAGGATATCAGTGACAACATGCATACAAGTCCAAGGAGCATCCAACAACACTCCGGCCACGACATATGGTCGTAGTTGGCGAGGTCAGTCGTTCACAGTCTAGGCTTTGCACAGAGCAAAAACCGAGGAACGAAAAATATCGGCGAGCGCCTCATGCCTGCCATCCATGGTCGCGTGAAGGTCTTCCATTCGGCCACTGCAACTTACTTCTCACCCAGTGAGCTCGCTGGCGCTGGCGGGATGCATCGGGAATGGATCCGATGTACTCCGCAAAGGCGAAATGGATACGAACGATACGACACCGTTCTCGTTTCGTTAGATCCCGCTGAGGAGGGGATGAAAGGGATGGTTGTTGGTCGGGTGCGTGCATTCAAGTCGGTTGAGCACAACCGGGACAGCTACCCCTGTACTCTCGTTGAGCGGTTTGTGCGTAGGCACGACCGTCCTGACCCGTCTACCCGAGTATGGGTTGTTGAACCTGAGATTATCAATGGTTCTCGTGTGCTTCTGTTGTCCATACTGATGCAATTGTGCATGGTGTCCATTTGATTGGTTTGTACGATGAAGACTATATTCCTCTCGGTTTCCACTTCTCCTACACCCTTGATGCGTTCAAAGCATTTTATGTCAATGAATACGTCGATTATCATTCACATGAATGTATTAGTCAGCGATAAGACATTCAAACCAGTGGCCCTGGTATGTACAGCGGCATTCTTAGCATCATACTGCTCTAAATTTAATCATCTTGAATGTCTTAGCCAGGACGCTAAGACGCTCTACGCTTAAGATGGTAAGGACATTTCCGGGATGGGCGATGCGTGTCCGCTGCAGATACTTCTAGAGCTCCATCATGCGCAGTGGACGCGTGTAATTTACTGTTCTATTCTTCCGCTTCTTTTGGAGGTGGAACTGATATGGCAGAAAATGTGGCATTACCGGACTCTCTCTGACGGCGTAATTGCCTGCGTCAGCATCCACGTGGTCATCTCGTGAAAGATCGAAGTCTGAGAGCACAAACAAAACTCAATAGGGAAGACGGCTGTCCTTTCGAAGTTTGGCCTAGAGATTGAGGACACTGTGGCAATTGTGGCCCCCGGCATTGGGTAGGCACAGCGATCAGATCCAAGAAGCGGATGTATCCGCTGCTTCCGCAATCTTCATCGTCCAAGGCTCCGCTCGTTTTCCAGCATAGTCTGTCCAACGATTAGCGTTCTACAGTTTCTACAGCACCCTCTTGGAGATAAAAAATTGGAGGTCAATACATGAGAATACCTCGCCCGGGGGCCAGTTCTGGATCTCATTTTGTTCCCAAACACTGCCAGGATACTGCATCTGAGATGTGGCACCCAGCCGTCGTGGAAGCTGGCATAGTCAGGACAATGGCAATGTGGCAGAATGTGGCTCTCGGCAGAAGCTCGGCACGAACGGAAGCTCATGCACGTGATAAGTTCGTTCACGACGCGGTGGTCCTCAGCCTCCACAACGCTCACTCGAGCCACGCGACCAAAGGTATAAAAGGTACGGTTCTGACTGAGACCCCGTATCAAATAGGCTCACAATGTCCGATACTCGCCCAGAACTTGACGTGTCTCCTCAGACTTCGTCACACTCGCCTCGCAAAGCTGGGCGGAACTCTACCAAACCGTTCGGTGCCACGATCGACGAGGTGGCAAAAGCGCGCAAGGATATAGCCGTGGAGATGTCTGGATACTTTGTGGGTCCTATGCCGGTGAACGAGTTTCTTGCCGAGTTCCTACCGCTCCCCGCTGGAGTCCATGAGGACGAGTCCGAACTTGCCAAAGTTTTTGGAGCCATGAAGAAAGCAACTGGGGAGAAGCGTCAGAAGAAAACGCAGACCTCAAGTGTAAGTCAAGGTAATATGACGAGCAAGGAGTTGCCGCCGACGGCGCCTGCCAAGGCTGGGGAGACCAATTTGAGGGGAGAATCCACTGGGGACACCGCCGGAGGTGGAATGAACCACAAAGCGGAGACTTTGTCTCGAGCCAAGGGCGCCTTCCCCACGAATGAACAGTCGCAAGACGTCGTGCCTGCTACCCCCGTCCCACGGGGCAAGGAGGCCAAAATGTGGCCCGAATTTGTGGGTCCTATCCGTCTCGAGTAAATTCCAGCTAATCGCTATTTCTGTAGTTATCCTGCGTACAACCTTGTATTGATGGAAAGCGCGTTGACCGCTTTCCTGGTCTCCGATTCTGCGACACGTCGCACAAGCACGACCCTCAAGACGAGAACGAGTTCCAGCCTGATATCAGTGTTTATACCGACAGGGACCCTGTGGATCTTGACAGGACGTGCTGGGAACGTGTGCAGCTAGTCATCGAGCTGAAAGCGGAGACTAAGGATGACCCATTCGTCGACATCGTCAAACCAGGAGGGTGCGACGGAGATGATACTATATCCGGATCTGCTAATTCGCAGACTGTTGTAAATGGCCTAGAACCCGCCCGATTCTCAGGATTCTCTGGTGAACTGCTCAGTCGCTCCGAGTCTTACAACAAGACGAGTGGAGAGCCCAATCCCTATCCATTTGAGCGGAATAGCAATGAGGGCATACGGAATCGGGCTCAGCTGGTTCAGTACGCGAGTATGATGTGGGCTAATCAGCCGCGCGTATTCCTCTTCCAGGTAATCCTCTTCAAAGACTGTGCTCGCTTGCTGCGATACGACCGTGCCGGTGCCATCGTTTCGGAACAATTCCACTACCAGAATACCCCCTATCTGGCGCAATTCCTGTCTAGGTTCAATATCATGCCTCATACACAGCGCGGGGAAGATCCCACAGTCACCCGTGCTACTGATGATGAAGCAGATCGCGCCACGACGATCCTGGACAAAGACGATATCGAGCAAAACAAGCCTATGCTGAAGATCATAGTAAACGACAAGACCGGCGACAAGGAGTTGATTGTCTCCAAGCGTCGGTTTATCTATCCCACCGCCATCGGCCGAGGTACTCGCTGCTACGTCGCGGCCGACTTGAACACCGGAAAGCGCGTCTTTCTCAAAGACTCGTGGCGCTATGACGTCGAGCGGATGCAACAGGAAGGAGATATCTACGAGCTGTTGAATGAGAAGGGGGTCTCGAACATTGCGAAGGTCGTTTACCATGGAGATGTTAAGGACCAGGAGGGGCGGACAGATCAAAGGTCTATCACAGCGCCCTACGCCGGGAGGAGCTGGGCTCTCAGGACCCGAACACTGGTACAGCATCGGCATTATCGTATTGTCCTCGATAAAGTGGGGAAACCGCTCACTGAAGCGCCATCCTCGAGGTCTATTATCAAAGGGATTCTTGATGCGCTTATAGGTGCGTTAGTTGAGGTCGTTACCCCACTATACTCATGAACTAATGGTCCGATAGCCCACAAAGAAGCCTGCGAAAAAGCCGATATCTTGCACCGGGATCTCAGTCCTGGAAATATTATAATGATAAGCAATGATAGCGCGATCCTAATCGACTGGGATCTGTCAAGGTCATTACAATCGTTGGAGGAGGAGAACGCTCGGGTGCGAGACCGTACGGTAGGCAGAATTTGATAACGAATCATTTGGATTGCTGCTTAGTCTTAATACTTGAAGGGCACTTGGCAATATATCTCGCACGCTCTACTACGAGACCCACTTAAAGCACATACCCGCGGGGACGATCTCGAATCTTCATACTGGATCCTACTCTGGACGTGTCTCCATCACATCAGGTCCAATCTAGCCCAACCTGAACTATACGGTATAATGCGGGCCGTATTCGACGAATGCGAGTGGGACTATCGCTCGAACTACTACACGGGGGGGAAGGCAAAGAAACTGCTCCTGCTCAGTGAGGAGTACATTCAGGATCTTACCTTTGCAGGAGCACCTATGCTTGACATTCTGCTCTACCATCTTCGGGTCGTCTTCCGCGAATATGTTCAATATGTCATCAACTACACAGACGCGAGGAATCTGCGCAAGTTGCAGGAGCGTCTTTCAGGTGGCCATGGTGACTCAAGAACCGCGGTGCAGAACAATGGTGTGCCAGTGCCCGAGACCTTGCGGAACTCTGACAGAGTGATCCAGCTCTTCGCAACAGCGTACAACACTCCTGGCTGGCCGGAGAATGATAGAGTGGACGACCAGATTCCGAAAGTACGCTGGTCAAAGTCGATTCATACAAACTCGAAGAAGCGATCATATGATTGGGAGAGTCACTCTGAATCCCAGGCCTCCGCGAAGAGTCAACGCCAAGGCTATCGTACCGAAGCTGGCCCCTCTTACCGAAATCAGCTCGTGGTGCTTCCTGAAGATGAGTGATTGACGTTTCATCCTAAATGGGGCTTGTACTTGTTGACATCTTGTATTGCTTGTATTTCTTCACATTTATGTTTACGTATTTAGCCCCGTGTCCGGACGTGGACAATCCATGTCCTGCGGCAACTTTGCGGCGCCGAGGGACTCCAACGCATCGTACATAGGCCCGAACCAAGCGAAGGTATGGCACCGTCATGGCCCTCATGGGTGATGCTAGAGTTCCATTATGTGAACTGGAAGTGTTGACGGAGATCGTTCATGCGCATGGTTCTCCTATGATGACTAGAAACACGTATATCAAGTAGTGTAAGAGAGAATTTGCCCACAACATGCTTTGGAAACTCGGATAGACTAATGATTGAGATCCTCGTCGTCCTTCTGCCACATCAACAGTATTGTCAACGTGTGTATGCTCTATCGACTGTCTGCGCCTTTTGTCCCAAAGTAACTTCAGGCACGATCTCTCGAAGCTTCGCCATGAGATCCTGGGACTCAGCAGGTGGTACCCAGTCGTGTATCTCTAGCCGGGCTATAGGGACACCTGCCTGTCTGCGCTTGGATAATGCGTAGATAAGCTGCGTCAGCATATCCCCATCCTTGAACGTATGTTCCCCACTTTCTATGGCGATTGTGTGTAAGATCGGCCACGGCGCCCTGCGGAAGATTGCTAGCTTTCTCCTGAAGCCAGTAATGTCGTCGTCGGTTGCCGATAACGCCCTAACGAGAGCTATAGGCATGAGTGCCACTTCGAACCTCTTCACGCTAGAGAAGCAATCGAGCAACATCTCCCAGGCCTGAAGCGAAGCTTGCCCAAGGATGGGTCCAGCAATGCGCAGCTCTTCGACCGTGTGTGCGAGAGGAAGTATGGCACACATCCTACTTGCGAAGTTAAGACTGCTCAGCCGTCGGGTACATTGCAGCGCTAAGTAGACGTGGGCGTCGGACTCAGTACTTGTTTTCCCCTCGAACCTCACGGTATGTCCGGAGAGCGTTAAATCCGCTCTAGTGATGTGGACGGAGCCTGTACCCGACGTGACAAGTTGGATGGACTGGTAGAGTCTGTCGAAATCGTCGATGAAGAGAACTCTGCAGTGTATAGCCAGGCTGGCCTTCGCTGGGAAGGTAAGGTATCCCAACATACTCATCATGTTGTCACTGGGGATCCAGAGGTGTTCTCCGAGGAATAGATTGGTGAGCAGAGGCAGGTCCACCCTGGGACATCTATGACTCCAGTCCCTAAATCCTTGCGTCTCATCGAAGACAGACCACAGCTGGAGCTCTGTCAAGCATGGCGACATGGAAATGATATGCAGCATTTTCGGTGGGGTCGTCTTATTATGGATGCTGTGAAGTCCAAGTTTGGTGAGGTTCTTGAAAAGAGGAGAAGCCCAGTCGCACTCGAACCCTCGCAGAGTAAAGTGCTTCAGACGTGGTGCGCGAAAGCCGAAGAAGGCGGTTGAGGGAGGGGGCAACTCGTGGTTCGTCTTCCTCATTTCCCAAGTTTCGAGCAGGGGAGATTCGTGCGGAAGATTTGCCATGACTTGATCGATGTCGGCGCTCACTCCAGTGACCTGGAAATCTTTGACACGGTGGAAGTGCGTCATCATCAAGAGGGCGCAGTCCATGCTTTCTCCATCTTCCACTGCCAAGGATAGTCTCAGCGGTAAAATACCAGAGCGGTTAAGTACCGTAGAGGTCCATGATGCATGTTTGATACTGACGAAATCCCAGAATTTCGGCTCCTCAAGGGTAATTGTCCGCCAGTAACGGCAGACGCTACTCAGCTGGAGGATAATCACTTGGTCGAGAGATCCGTTGAGGTCGGCGACTGCACTGAATATCGATACGAGAATCTCCAGAGGGAGATCGCAGATAGGGAATGCGCTCCATCTTGCGTTATAGGCATCTGCTTCAAGGTCGTGTTCTTGTATGTTACCGGCACTTGCTCCGTGGTGAGGGCCGGTTTTGGAAGCTCTCGATCTGTTGAGAGTGGTAAAGGTTCTAGACTCATCCGAAATATCCCATAAATCGAAGTCTCGGATGTCTGAAGTACCCCAGGGTCAGATCATACTACTACAGTACTCGTATTTGTCCGTGGACAAAGCTACGTACCGTCTGGTGGTCGCCAAGATGCTACATTCAGAGCCGTCATCTGGCGTAGCGGAGACTTTGGATTATTAGCTCCCCGACGTCGGAAAGGTTAGGTTAGAATCCCTCCTGGATTTTGTATCGAGCCGTATTCGTAGCCCTGTGGTTGCTGCAGGACTACAACATGACGACGTCGAGGGAAGCGCTCATGAAGCGTGTATACCCACCAACCCCTAGTAGTAAGGTGCCGATGTGATGATCGCGGACCGTTCATCCGACGCGGACAGGAATACATATATAATTATTAGTCTACACAGCATCCATTCAGACTACATGTCGTATTATTCAGAACATTCCATTCATTTGAGCTTCATGGTACACATACAATGGCCTAGTATATAATAGCTTGATGATACATACAGCATCGCAGCAGCAGTTGGCAAAAGAGCGTGCACGCCATCATGTCGAAGTTGCGGCAGATAGTCCTTCACCGTGCGAGGACACACCAATTTCTTGCTGAAGGCGCTCCTGATTGGCAATACGCAACCTGAACAAGACCTGCGTAAGAGGAAGTCGACAAAAGGAAAGAGGCTGTAGTAACTCACTGATTTCGAGCGCCGAGCACCCTCATCGTCCTCTCCCTCTCCATCGGAGTCATATTGGGCCAGTTGGCGATTCGTGACAGCGTCTACAAGCGGATTAACAAACGAATACGGCAACCACAATACTCGGTGAACGTACCCCATCGCTATTGACGACCATTGGACCCAGAGCGTCGAACTTCATCCTCTGCATCGTGTGGACATCCAGCTTAGTCGTCTCATCATCCTGAGATGGAGCTGGAAGGGCAAGAGGCCCCGACGGCGTATTAGGCGTATTAGAGACAGTTCCTTCGGGCTGAGTGCTCATGGTTACGTGACAGTCAAGACAAGAACCAGAAGCGATATGGTGGTATACTGCATCCCAAGCAACACAGCAATGCATCAGTATTATATTTGTCGCGAGTTAACGTGGCCATCCTCGAGATTGTTCGCGAGACAGCGAGCTATGAACACAGAACGGAGCAGAAAGTCTGCGAAAGCTTGCGTGGTGACTCTTGTCACGCCCGTTACAGTACACTTGCTCCCGACGGCGCTCGTATTGGCGACCTTGAACTGAACCACCGTCCGAGCGCTTCTTACCTGCTGTCTACACAGATCTCTGCTGCATCGACCTCGTGCGATTCTCTGTCTCTGAGTCCTGGTCATATGGCAATCTTATCAAAACGGAGCGGATCTATATCATGGCCATGCACTGACATCCTTGTCTGGCTTGACAATAACAAGCAACTGACGCGTACATCTGCGTAATTCCAAGTAAAAGTCCAACAGAATAGCTCAGGCATATCGTGTCGGCTGAGATCTTCGCCAGGAGACCCCGCAATGATTTAATTGTTATCGCGGGGCGTTCTAGCTGACATCTCAGGCTCATCGTGGCCCATCGGCCAATTCGAAGCAACGGCGCCTCTGACCGCCAGCCTCCTCTGGGAGTCGGAGCCATTTTCGTGGCTCACAGGCTTTCGTCGTTATTGTTTCGAAAGTTGTGGGTCCCCATCAGATTACCAAATAAGGTTCACCTGCGACCGGCACGTGCACTGTCTCACTGCCATTTCACTGCTCTTATTGTCAAGTCCACTCTACTTATACACAGAACGTCCAGCCATGTTTCAGACAGCACAACGCCCCTTTTCTCTCTATCTACGTCCTCAAGCCTTTCCCTCAAAATTGCCCCCTTTCCCTGCTCGCATCTGGCCAACATGGGCAAATCCAGCAACAACCTTTACACGCGAGTGAAGGGTGTCTTCCGCCGCGACGGACAACCAGCTGCTAAACACCGCGAGTACTCTGTCGCACACCAGTACCAGTACTCGCCGCTGGACATGCAGCACGCGAACGGTGTCAAGGCATACCCCACCGCTCTGCACCATCAAGACGACTTGATCACGGAATTCTTCGGCGGGAAGCCAAAGGGGCCACGAGGATACGTACGTGGTTCCCAGTCATCTGGAGAGAGTGGTAGATGCCGATCTTCTCGAACAGTATTAAAGGTGAAGAAGATACTGCGCTCACTAGCGCATAGGTGTCCAACTCCCAGGACGTCGTACGTCACTTCTCATTATTTGTACATCTTCATTCTGACACGATGTGGTTCTTTGACCAGTATTCCCTTCCGTCCGGCTCGTACACGATGAACGCATATGCCCATAATAGTATGAATCCAATACCGACCAACCGGGAATAATGGGAGGGTGCAAGCGCTGAAACGCATAGTCCTGGCAGCGGATGCCAGCCCGTTCGTTTTGCGCGCCCTTCATAATCTTTATGCCGCCATATGCAAGCCTTCGCCGGCATTGTTCTCGTCCCATGTAGTGTTTCTCCCGTCCCATGCATTCTAGAGTTCCTCTTTTCCATGTCTGTCTCATGCGCAGTCTTAACATTCAGATCTATTTGGTTTTGTGTCGCATTGTATTTGCAGGCTCATACCCTTAAACTATGCCTCTTTCCTGGGCTCCTTTCTGTACCAGGACACTGTAAACTAGGGCTATATTACGGTTGATATTAATGCACTGTCACCCGGGACCGTACGTTCAGATCCCGCTTCTGTAGCGCTGTAAAGGACCTGGGTGTGATTGACGATTTCCATCGATCGTCTGCACTGTGGTATACCTCTGTGAGTTATGTTCATTGTTGATCTTGCATAACATAATGCCATTCGACTGTCACCTCATGATTCTCAACCCATACCTGGGGTATTGAACAGTGGTTTCTACGAGGAGAATTCAGCGGCTCGGAGCACGGTAACCTGCGAGGTAGAGCCTCCCGGGAGAATGAATTTGAACGGGTCTGCCTAAAGAGTTGCGTAAACCCTCATACTGCATAATGACTCGTTCGAGTGTATTGGTACGTTTTGGCGTATTGGAAGGGTGCAGCAGGGTGCAGCATTGGTTTGAATAGTTTACGGTTTACGCAGTCCCGATTCACTTCGGGAAGACCCCGGGGAAGAACGGGAACTACAAGCAAGCACACCCGATAAGGTAATTCTTGCAAGTCAATGGCTCAAGGCCATAGTCTCCCAAAGGCGACCGATTAAATGCCTCCCTTATAAGGCAGGTGGAGGGCAGTCGGCATATAATCAAGGCCAAGTCTCTTTCGTCGCCTGCAGGAATACTACGAGCTCTGAAAAAAGGATCTACTGAAATTCCGGGACATTGCGGGACGAACTAATGACGCATTCGGACGGTATGCCATCCCCTTCGCTTCTTTGTGCAACAAGAACGCACGTCACCGGGCCCGCTGCTCACTGTACACAGCTAGAAGACGCCGAAATGCTGCCGATCTGATAAATGGAGGATATACAGTTCGTCTCAGTATATGCGGTTCGGTGCTTGACCTGATACAATTAGCACACGTGTGCGTCGAGAAATCTCCAGACTTGTCGACTGCGTCGGTCAAAGTCCCCGTCCAACGAGTATGTGGACGGCTTGGGGCCACTGGCGTTGACCGGAAGTCTATGACGACCCCGACTTGCCTCGGACTGCCGACGTGGTCAGCAATCTATGCGGCAAGGCTGCGGGTTGTCTTCCGCCGTCGGATCCACAGCCCTTGGTCCCGTTGCGTTATCAGGATATCTTTACCGCTTACGCTGATATAACGAAGAGAAGGCTGCCGGTGAAGCACCACAGCGTTTGCTTCTGCGCTTGGGGAATTCCCTTAGTCGACCGGTCACCCTTCTGCTACACTGGATAATTCCGCTTTCACCATCCGTGGAGGTGCAACGGCTATATATTCGACCCAGTCTTTCATCCCTCGCAATAATACCATCTCACTTGCAAGAACTACTTGCTTCCTGCCGTCGTACCAAAGCGTGGCAGATCCTGGATCAGTCACCGAGTTTCTGCTGCCCTCATTCCATTCTTCGTAATCCGACCCTGATCGTCGAAGATGTGTACATATGACGTGTGAGTACTCCCTGTTGCTGATAATACTTTGTTCTGTTTGTATTTCAGGACGCGATGATTGTTGACTTAAAACCCTATCATCACCGCATCATAGTGTTGCTGACTACTATTCTGGGTGCCAAGTGCGCATCTAGCCCTCGTCCTGCTATGCACGAGCCAACGTTCTTCTCTCACAGCACTGGGTCAACATCTACTACACCGGGGATAAGAATGACTGCAGTTCGGAAACGTGCAAGACAAGTCAACACCACAAGCATAAGACCGCCAGAAACTGTGGTTGTCCGACCGTGCGCTAAGCCATTGCATTTGCCCTACACCTTTCGGACTGATAACTTTCTCTTTAGATTCGCTGGGATAATCAGAAACGTCAGAATTTGTTCCGAACGAAATGTCCGACGTGCTCTGAAGGACGATGAATGATGCCAATATGTCGTTCCTCAACTCACTTATATATTCATATACCTGAGACGCTACTGCGTTATTGTGGGGTTATTATGTATTTCCACCTCATGTGTATCTGTCCTGACAGTAACTAGTCACTGGCTCTTTCGCGTACGGATGTACTTGTATCTATGTTTCTGCCACCTTTGCATGGGCCACAAATATGTGCAAACAGACTCTGTGATGATTCATGGCTTCCTGTTCGGTCTCCTCGTACTAAACTACCATCTCATCGCAGACAGCTCGACGCTACATTGTCTGCGGAACAACACTCTAGCTACTCTTTTGCCCCAGTTTTATGCCCAATAAGCCCACTGAAGCACATCCACAAAGTTATCGCTTAATATCAAACTCTTCCAGCGCTCACCGCCAACATTTCGCCCAGTATGACCGTCGCAAACTTGCACACAAATCCTTCTCCATCTTGCTGGAGGTTCCATCGGAGACTCTCACTCACATCACATCCTTCCTGGATCCAGCATGTCTCTTCGCACTCGCCAGGACGAACAAGCGGCTGTATGAACACGTAAAAGACGATAATACCTGGCACAGAGCCTTTCTCTGCCAGTTTCTGGGCATTGGCCCCGAGGGCGATTCTCATGATGGCAATAGCCTGATGCTGAGGCGCTCAGAGCTGTCCTGGAGAAGGGAGTTCGTCTCTCGGCACAATCTACGACGGTACGCAACCTTATCGGCGTTGCCGTGTATGGATGTCTGACAGTAGTACAGACGGTGGATGCGGTCCCGGAACACTCCGATAAGCCATGTACCGACACATTCGAGCATCTCCAGTATGCACCTCATGTCCGAGGGCGCTTTGCTGTCGTCCTCGCTGCAATATGGCATCGTCGCTCGCTCCATCCCTCTGACTGGGAAAGTCCTCCGAGGTTTTCTCGACGCTGGAGGTATGTTGAACGGGCTGGGCAATGGAAATCCCAACGCAGAATTCTCGCCGAACGTCGCAGCTTGCGCCCTAACTTCGGATGGCGGAACTGCGAAGATCGCGTGGGGATTTACAAATGGTGAGGTAGCCATGACTACCGCGGCCAGTGCCATGAATCACGGGAGCAGGGCTGCTGCCAAATACGCTCGATGCAAGGTTGGCGAGCTGCACGATGGTGTGGTCGACAATGTTATTTGGGACACCTCGGTAAGTAGCCGACCGGCAATCGTCACAAGCGCTTCAGATGGGCGCGTTAAGCTTTGGGATGCGCGCGAGTTCAAGTGCCTATGGTCATCCGAGAAGCAGGATTCTCCTACAGTTGACCCTTTTGTCAAACTAGCGAGCAATGTGTCATTGGGACTTGTAGCAGCACTGTCGAGGAGTGGAGATGTACACATCTGGACCGGCCTTGCGTCTCTCATGTCACAACCCAACGAGGTTAGCGTCGAGCTCCCGGTAAATTATGCTCGCGTATCAGAACCGGAGGTCTCGAGGAGTAAAAGCTCTGATAGTGGTTCTTTGTTCATCGACCCTGTGGCATCTGGATCTCGGCGGCTCTCAGTTCTACTGTCGCGGACTGGTAATCCCTCTTTCCATCGCATCAATCTTGGTCCTCGTCTCGACCAGATGGAGTGGATCAAGTTCGGCGACGCTACGACTGGATCAATACGCTGTATCCAACCCTCATTCGGCGAGTCCAGTTTCGTCATTGCAGGAGATGAGCTTGGCTATGTACGAATATTCGATTGGAATTCGTCACTAACCACCCCTGTCCCTGCATCCATGCAATTTGAAGCCCATGATGACGGACCGGTCACTACTCTCGCTTGGAACCCTGTCGTCCTCGCCACGGGCTCTTCGCGTGGTGCAGTCAAAGTATGGGATTCGCTGTCGTTTCAGTGCTTACGGGTCATTGCTTCTGCGTCCCCGAGAGGTATCGCGGAGCCGGTTTCGCAGATCATCCTGGAGCAGGATATGATCGTTGCGACTGTCGGCTCCAGGGCAGTTGCGCTTAAGGTTGACCGCGTTGGGCGGGAAGATAAGAAAGGGAAGAAGACCAAGCGGGGTGGCGGGCGGGCTGAGACAGCTAAATGGCATAGTGAGTATTTCTGGAATTGGTTCCGATAAGAACATGGATGTTGAAGACTTGGTTGCAGAGCAATTGGAACTATATCGAGATATAAATGAGTCTCGTCAAGCCCAGGAGCAGGAGCAAAGTTACATTCGGCACACGTTCGGTCGTGAAAGAGAGCAACGCGCTACCCTTGAAGGCCTGGGCCTGAGTGAGATCGAGGCTGTGGAGTATATATTGATGCTCAGCCGCGATGAAGATGAACATCGGCGTTTTTTGGGCAGCGCGTCGCAGTCTCCGCTGCAACTCCCTGTGCTTGAAGACGAAGGCGTGTTCGAGGCTGACTTTGACGATCTGCCCCTTGCTTCGTCGTCCTCTAGGGTGGATGTTCCTGTGAGGAGGTCGCGGCCGTCTTCATCTAGCACATCTGTGAACAGTCGCTCCTGGCCGCGCACGCCCTCGTCATCCTCGAACCACAAAATTCAGGTATCCCCGCGTTTCCAGCCTGAACCGATGGAAGCTGGTCCGAGCGTCACTCCGCTGAACATCGGAGGGGGTTCACTGCCACTTCCTGTGCGTGGTCCGCCTATCACGGATGAGGGCCATTTCCCGAGCATCAGTCCGAGCCCTTCTTCCGCGGGCACTTCTATCCCATCGTCGATCAGGCGGTCTGTTTCGGGCAGCCCGGAGTCGCGCAGGAATGCGTGGGCGACGCCGATCTCGCGTTCGCTGTCGTCGTCCGGCGCTGCCTCGCCTGTGTCATCCCCTCGTGTGGTCGCTCGTCAGCCTGGGCCCTCTGGTCTCGCTGCGGATCTGGCAAGGTATGGCACGAGCAACGGCAGTGTACGGAGCAGTCCGCCCTTGGAGGAATTAGATGAAGATGAGGAGCTTAGGTTTGCTATAGAATTGAGTCTCGCTGAAGCGCGCAGTCGGGGAGAGGATGTTTGAACTTTACAGCTGACGCTTATGGACTGTCGCCAATATGACCTAGACTATACATCTGTCTATGCCTAGGATAGAGTATACCTTCCCGCGTGATGCCATAGAATAACTACGTAGTATGAATGAATATGGCCTTCCTACCAATAGACCGGTAGATCGTGATTCTGCCCTAAGTAGGAAGGGCGTCGCATCCAGATGCAAATCAAGGAGGCGACCACCAACGCCCTTGAAGGTCAGGGATTTCTCCATTTTCAACTTGCTGGCCGTCGATGTAAATGCCGCCAGTGATGTCCTCTTTCTTCAGCGATATCCCCAGAACTCGACATATGTCTGCAAAATCTTTTGGTAGCGGCGCGGTCACGCCGAACCGGAATCGCCTGCTCGGGCCTTCGGGGCGGTATCGCTGTTGCGTTCCAATTTATCATTGAATTGAAATTGCGTCAATGCAGGTTAGCCCTCCACAACAGGTCATAATAGTATCCCCAAGACTCACAAAGAAGGAGATGTGGGAGGAGTGGAGGAATAGCCGGTCGCAAGGTATGTCGATGATGGGCGACGTTGTCGAGTGTATGGTATCGCCGAGGATGGGAGCTGTGTAATGTGCTGTTTTGACTATTTATGCAACGGGATGATATGGGTGGGAGTGACCTTGGAGGACTTGGGCGAGGTGGACTCGGAGCTGGTGTTTTAGCCCAGTGTGAAGCCTCAGCCGCAGTAAAGATATCGGCGCCTTTTCCTGCTATTTTATTAGTCTACCAGCAACTCTGGAAACTATTGATACCGACCGCGGAAGCCACGAGCTCCCAGTCCGTCGCAGCGGGCTTGCCAGTAGCGCTTCCTTCGTGAGCAACAGATACCCTGCCATCCACGTTGTCCAGCGGTGTCCGGATTTCTCCATTGCTAGCTGGGAAAGTCTGTGCCCCGGCGCGGACGAGGGCGAGGTACGTCTTCGAAACGGTGCGCGTACGGAACTGCGCGGAGAGGTCCCGGGCCATGTGGGGTGTCCGCGCGAGGATGAGGGCTCCGGTAGTAGGCTGCAAGCGAACCGAGCCTGAAATCGATATATGAGATGTGAGTAATTGGAGGACGAACCTTGTCGAGACGATGTACTGGATATGGAGGGGTTGACATTCCGAGTCTCTCTTGGAGCCCTGTAGTCAGTGGGCATCGCGGTGAAATTCACGACTCAAGTCATGGTCGTGATGCTCTGACCTCTCAATAACGAATTAAATGTGAGACCCTAAGTATATGGCTCAGTTTACTCGACCACAAGGGATGGGTTGGTTGCACGCACAGCTGTATCGGGTTGTTTACGGGCGTGACTGGTCTGACATATAAGACCACTAGGCTTGTTCAGAACTACTAGTCCCTTGTCTACGTATATGACATTGCGAAGAGGGTTGGTGTTCTTCCCGGTCAGCGACCGGTGCAGTATTTCACGACCGGATCGCGACATGTCTGCTCGTGTATATGAACTGACTTAAGAGTTTCAGGGCATTCCATCTACTTCCGGGGCTGGTGATGGTCCGGATCGCAGTAGTGCAAGAGGAGGCTTTGGGACGAGGACATACGCAGCTTTCCACGAGAAATTCGTGAGCGTGGCAGAAACGCGTCAATCACGTGACGACGAAATGTCGGGATGTCAATGTTTTGAAGGAGTCCTCTGGAGTTTCCAGGGATCAAGCTCCCTCTCGGACTCTTGGAGTAGGCGCACATGGTGATGTCCGATATTACAACGCATTCGAGTAGATAAATGCCTCTGTCCTTCCTGCTTACCAACAAAGAATGGGCGATACGGAAGGCCCGATACATGTACTGCCATCCAGCTCATCTTCTGGATCTTGGTGGACTTGCTAGGCGACATCAAATTCCTCGTTAGTCTCCCCTTAATGATATCCTAGAAGTTGGGGTCGGGAACCGTCCTGCAGTCATGGCATCGGACGCATCAGGCATCATGATATGCATTACCTGACAACAACCCACAGATTCTGGGACAAGGGCGTTATCGAGAGTATAGTCTCAGCAATGGCTCATGTGGTTCCCACTGAATGAATACGCGGCACCACCGCGTGTCGGACAAGGTGACCATACCGGGAGATGCCAGACAGACTTGACGAACCCAAACGTCCGACGGTAAGTGTAACAGGGTGGAGTATATTCATTACACCGTCCTCCGATCTGTTAACGTTCTTACGATGCATCCGATCCCAGCAGCCTCCGTCAACTGATGCGAAAAATACGAGGTTCAGCTTCCGGCGCGCAGTAACAGTTCCATTTCCGGGATAGACTGACCTTCTCGTGCCAACCCAGCAACACGCTCCCGCTGACGTCTCCCCAACCAGGCATCCCCATGCCCTTGTATATGTACTTCATCAGCGTGTCCTGCTGATCCTGCGACAAGGCCTTGACGATGTTCGATACATCCGACGACTTCGTGCTGTTCAGGATTGTCACCAGTGTTTGCAGTGTAAGAGTCTGAAATTGACCCGGTTGCATGAGTTCCGTGGTCCATTGAAGCGATCAGAGCGCACCCGTCTTACCTTCGCGTCCTCAACGTTCGGCCCATACGGCACGCCCTCGAGTATTGTACCCAGCGCTCCGGGAATATCTCCCCTGCATACATGCAGACTCAGCCCATCGGCAGTGGCCCTCCCACTCGAGCATTGTACTCAGACGCACTTGGACAGGGAGCTTCTGACAGCCGCAGCCTTCTGCTTCGCGTCGTCGAGGGCCTGCGCGGGGTCAAGCGGGTAGGGCTCGTACAGCTCCGTCTCGAGCAGCACGTCCTCGTCGAACTGATCGATGTCGATTTTCCGGAAGTTGTCCATTATCGTCGTATGGATGTGCGCAGTAGTACTAGTAGTAGCAGTCTCAAGTGAATCCCAGAAAGGACTGTGGCGACATTGGGACTCCGACACCGACGCGTCTCTGGCTTCTTACCATCATTTCCGCTCTGCGTGGCCTACGATGCACCGGTGCCTGTGGAGTACACAAATTTCTATCTATGCCCTCTACTGCCGCGACCGGAACATAGTCAGCTGAATTGGTACGCTGACTACCCGACACAAGGCAAGCCGAATTTTAAATGACGTTCCAGCATATCCGGGAACGTTTGGGGTTCCACCGTAGTTGCTGCACTCGAGCCTCATGTTCTCTTCCCTGTTATGATAGTCGATCCCCGGGCCTGGGCTTTCTTGATGCAGGAACCTCGGGACTACACCTTGCATCTCGCACACCGATCAAAACGCCCGGAATGATATCTTGCTACTTCAGCGCTGGGTAACCATCCTCGTGCCGCAAAGCGCGATCGCAACGAGGCGCCCATATCCGAGTGCTTAAAACAGATGCTGGCATGCTAGAGTATCCATCACCTCACCAGCTCGTTTGAACGGCTTGCTTTTCGTCCGCTCTCCCGTACACGTACTCTACACCGTACAGGGCTTTGTCTCCAACATCCACGATGCTCGACGTATTCAAAATCAAACCCTTCGACCTCGAGCCGGTCTACGCCTCCTGGCCCGACGCGCCGACGTTCAACGGTGGCAAGGGCCAGTCCGTCGATGCCTGGCTCGACCAGATCAAGGACGGCTGCACGGCGCGCAAGGTGCCCGAGGAGTACTGGTACGAGGTCGCGCAGCACTACATGGGCCCCCATGCCAGAGCACGCCTGGATGCGTTCAAGCGCGTACTCTACCAGATGAACGGCGGCGGGTACCGCTGGACGTGGAAGCAATTCCGCGCGGCGATGTGTAACATGGGATGTGAGTGTTCCTTCTATCGGCTGCACTCCGTTAGAATGTCTGCTAATCGTCCGCTTGTTGCGTGTAGGGGATATCGAGGACGATGCGACCGAGACGGTCGAGGTGAAGAGCAAGCCGTTCAGTTCGTGGTTCACCGTGAAGAGGAAGAAGTCGACCCCGCTCTCCGAAGAACCGGAGCAGATCGACGAAGACGAGCTCGCGCCCCCGCCCCCACCCAAGAAACCCTCCCCGCGATCGAAGTCCGCACCGGAGGTCAGCACAACCGACGCTGCTGGTACTAGCAGGCCTCGTCCGCCCATCCGGAGCGCGACGCTCGGCTTCTTCCCCGTGCGGCGGAACTCGAAAAGCAGCGCTGTCGCCGAAAGCGGCAATGGCAGCGGCGACCCCCAGGCGCCCGCTCTCCCCGTTGTGAAACCAGAGCTCGCAAAGGCGATGTCGGACACGGTCGTGGAGACGATGAAACACCTCGCGCCGTCCAAGGCGCACACGATCGACGCCATCTCCTCCGCGCACAGCGGGCAAGACGCCGGTAGGCACACGCGTCCCTCTCTCCTCACCGCGCCCCTGTATCCTTATTGCATCATCTCGTAGTCGTGACCACGATCGCGCACGCGCCGGCGTGGCTGCTGCAGGCGAGCAACGCGATCGAGATGCTCACGAAGGAGCACCCGAAGACGATGAGCGCGCTATCTGCGATTCTCATCACGGCGGGGAGCATCCCTGCCCTGCCTGCTGTCGCGGCGAGCCCGATGGGCCCCATCCTCGCGTGCCATGCCGCGCAGGCGATTGGCTCGATTGCGGTAGGGCTGGGCACGCTGTTGAAGGCGTCGTCGCAGGGGCAGATACAGGCGTCTACTCCACCTTCTTCCTCGTCAAGTTCATCGAGCAAGTAAGGAGGACGGTTGCAGGTATCGATATGCATTATCATTATTTTTTGGGACTTTACCGTATTTCATGCTGATTGCACACGAGGGAATATCTTGCTGGACGAGGATTTAACTTGTGGACTTGTCAGCAAAGTATTTGCCATTCAAGCATCTGTAGTATATTTTGAAGCACTGTACATTACCGCATCCAATGGAATAGACACAATACTTGCATTGATGTCTGTGAAACGTCAACCTTTTGTAGCACTGTAAAATATGCTCAGTTTGGCTTAGTCTTCCCTATCCTTGCTGAAAGCACGCTGGCCATGCATTCCGACCGCGATCGGGGCTTTATGACAAGTTGTCGGGACTGTATGAGCCCTCATGCAACATGCCTGACCAGTGAGGGGTGTGCTACTGAGGCATATACTTATACCGGTGTTGAACGCACGCATGACTCTGTGCAAAATCGTTTGCTCGATAAACTCAGCAACGCATTGGAAAGGAAGGGGCCGTCAGACCTACAAAGGTGGAGTAGATCCATGTAATATCGGAAGAGACGGTGTGCGAGGATTGCAGGAGTTACACGATAGGTGTGATATGACACCATCACAATAATAGTAGGGGGATCACACAAAAGAGTGCACATCCGAAGCACCAGTACTCCATTCAAACTGATTCATTCACTGCGCATGTTCGCTGCGAAGACAACTACAATTCACCATTCCCGGTACAATACACAAGGACCTACATCTATGACGCTTAAGCCCTCTCATTGGCAACTAGTTACAGGGTTAGGGTTAGGAGGACAGACCGACATAAAAAATAGCCTGCCCAGCCCGAGGGCCGAAGCAGGACAGGGAAATATTTAGCGAGTGCATGAGCCGAAGCCCATACAAACCGCAGGGGCCCTCTGCGGACAGGGTCGCCGTGCTATGGAGAGCCCCCACGGCCCGTATTCCCAGGTACGTGAAGGGGAACACGCCCGCAAGGTAAGTATGAGTTGTTGGAACGTTTGGGTAGGGGATTTATAGGATGTGGCTGGTGCACGGACCACGAGCCTTTGTTTGGCGCAAGCCTGCCAGCTCTGGCCTTACCCTGTGCTGTGTCTCGCCGTTGTTCAAGTTTACCTTGTGCTATCTGGCTTATTTGAAGGCTCAACTGTTCGGGTGGATGTCTTCGTATCGTCTGGATTGACTAGCTTGGACAGTCCCGAATTGAATGTCACTGAACTAGTCTCCTTTTCAACGCAAAAAAGACGCGCCCGTCCGTAGAGGGAACACCGACGATTGGGAGTTACGCTGCGCTGTCCTCGAAGGCTATCAGTGTCTTTCAAGTTACAGCGTACTTTACGACATAAGTGCTGTGCCCGCCTCGGTGTCGGGTCGTAAGAATGGCGAGCATCCGGGTATCGAGAGCATCTTCCCTTGCTTGAAGTGCGATTTATGCCACTATGCCCACCATTCATTCCGAGCTTGAACGAGTTACAAGGTCGGTGTCTTCTGCTTGGCATTGGTATCTTAATAGATAGCAGCAGAGGTGCGCTTATTTGACCCTGTTAGTGTACCTGATGATAATGCTCGTACACTCCCGGTATCTGCAACCCGTCAGAATCTAGCCAGGGCGCTGATATCTGCGCTTGTCTTCATCCCAAGCACCATCTCGCTCACCACCAGTCCAGTCCCCAGACTCAAACTAATCCCCCACGGCCCATGCCCGCTAGCAACATACACCCTCCCCTTCACGCCGCCCAAATCCCCTTCCGGGACTCGTGCGACGAGAGGCACCCCCGTGCGCGTCACGGGGCGATGACACAGGCCCTCCCGTATCACCTCCAGCTCGTCCCCGCACAACCACCGCCCGACCTCCCGCAGCGTCTCCGTGCTCTTCTCGTCCGTCTTCACGTCCGTCGCGAGCTCCGG